TCCCCGCACATGATCCCAAATTCCCACAAATATTTGACAAATGTGCGTAGCTGTCATGGAATTGCAACTCCATGGAGTCGATTACCGAGAGAGGCTTCTTCCTCCATGGAAACGACAGGAACGCCTGCTCAATTTAGTTTTAGGATATGAACATACATGGTGACGTCCGTGGAGTTTTGAATCAAAAGCGACCACAGAGTTTCTTTTGTAGCGAAGTTGTTTTCTTCATGGACGTTTTCGTGATTCCATGAAAGTAGCCGAGGCTACGCCGAGGGACGAACTTCCAAAATGGAATTTCTGACTTCCGTAACTCTTCGTCATTCGTGGAAGCTTAACATGCGACTTCCACGAAGAAAGCAACCAACGGTTTGTACCCACGGCTTTCGTGGAGGAAGTTATTGACAGGTTCGATGGAAGAATCATGGAAGCTGGCGCCAGAAACCGACCAACGCCTTCCACACGGCTTCCATACGGTTTACATTCCGCTTCCATGGAAGTTGAATGGCTTCCTCCATGGAATTTCTACAAGCTTTCATGGACGTTTGGACAACTAGGATATCCCATGATAGCCAACTTGAGAACGTCGCACACATTTGATGCCTACAACCGAAGCACATACGGTGATCGCTACAGATGATGTGGTACACACGCTCCTCAAAAACAAGATGGTGTGTCGTTGTCCCCGTTGTTTTTGCTTAGACAGTGTAGCGCGGTGATCGCCGAGGGCTGTCGAGAGGCCGGCGTCAGCGATGAACACGCCATATCCATCACGACCCAGTGGAAGATGGAAAAGGTACGAAAGGATGTGTGCAGAAGGAAATCTCAGTCTAGGCAACCGAGGTTTTGTAGGATCTAGACAACGATGGCTCTCTACCCCGATCTTGGGGTTGGAGGGTGGGTGTTAGAACTCTGTGGTGCTGGCACAGCAGCCGACCATTTGTAGCCGAGACGGTCGAAAGTTTTATCACAATGAGTGGCAAACCAGCCAGCGATGCTGGGCGTGGTACGTTGAACACAATTATTGCTGCCTTGCAATACTCTGCCTCGCAATGACCTATTTTGTGGTTCCTACGTTCTTGTCATTGTTGCTTGTGTATTGGTTCTTGGGATCCTCTTCCTTCTGAATACTGTCTGAACAACATGCATTCTTGCTCCTTTGGGGTAGTGCGCGATGTCCGCGCTATTTCAGTTGGACCAGTACCGGTAGGAGGCACTGGGCAAAGATCGGAACGGTTTTTAATGTGAACACAAGAAATAGAGACGTTTTCGTCTTACACCGATGGTCGTGCGCAAAGAGCGAAGTTACGTAAACGATTGATTTTGAACACCTACCTTGTTCAGCATCTCATGAACATGTTCTACGTTTTAATGAGCTTGCACCATTCCCCCGACACACATTTCGACCGTTGGCGACGCGCTTCGAAGGGGCTCTCCTCCGTTCAGGGTCCTCGCTGCCATTGCTGCTACACTTGGCTTTGGCCCCATACTATCCATACGTCTCTATCAAATCAATCAAAAGGGTGGGTAAAAGGCGTGCATGAAGGAGTTTGCTCCACCGGTTAGGGCCGAATCTCTGCGTGACGTGCGCGAACGAAAACATGCGGTTGTGTTAAAACGCAAGAGATGTGTTGTTCCCCCCTGGTGCTCGGCACGGGTTTGCCACTCGTGATGTGCGTATGTGCCCTGTGCAGCTCAAAGCCTGGCGTTTGGAGCAAAATCGTACAGGATTAGTGCTGAATCCAAGTTTAAAAAGCGTTTTCCAGCGCTTCTTTGGAGGAATGGCGGGACTGGCGGAAGAACAGCCGTTTCACGTTCTTGAGGTAATAAACTTATGAAATCCGCAGAAAATCGAAAATTTGCAACGTGCGTGCTGTACCGCAGCGTCGTTGTCCCAGACTTGACGGTCGCGACATGTACTCTTTGAGAGTAAGGTTTGACCACTCTTTGCTCATCGTAGCATCGTGAAGCATATAGACTTCAGGGTTCCCTGCAGGCGAATGCCATCGCAAGCGTGGCATCGCCACTGTGATAAATGTTGGGATGTTCCAAACATGCGAGGGCTGGTTTGTCGGAAGTTTACTCAATAGACTCGAAAGTATGGTAGTTACCGAAATTTCTCAGTCCCTCTTGTTTGGCCGTATACGGAGCAAATACGGAGGGTATACGGGGCAACGCTTGTGAATAGCACGTTGGAGGCCCTTGGCTCGAATTTGGATAGAGATTGGTGCGCCGAACGAAGAACGTGCTTGGAGTACAATCTCTCTTCTTTCTTTTTTTCGGCTTTGCGCTCAGACTGGCAGCTGGCAGGGAGAGTCAGCATCATGGATCGCAGAGCATATTTTGAAACATCCTGAATCTATCCTCGTCTGCCTGGACACATGGAATGGGAGTCCACCGCCAGAGAACTCCGGATACGAGATGGCTGCTATAGAGGTAACGGCTATAGCTTGCTTGTGAACCTTCTACAGCCAAACCCTGCCCGCTGTTGATGTGCGAAGCCGAAGCGGCTTGTTTCCTCCGGAGGCTCTGTTTACCCCAATCCTTCCGAGACGTACTTGTCACACAAAGAATATCGGCCGAGATGTTTCCATCGTGTAATCCGTGAGGGTGGTTGTAATGTTACGCCTTGCGTTATCTTGCAACGCTGCGGTGACCTCAACCAGGTTGAAGATTCTCAAGTATATGCTTGGCAAAAAACACCTATTTGTGTTGGATAGATGTCCAGGGACGACCGATCAGCCAACTCTTCTACTCAGTCCGCAAACTTCTGTACAACCCCCCAAGGCAGCTGGATAGAGCAAGATTTCTTCGCAACATGCTAGCCCGTGCACCTGGAAATCTAAACCCTGTTCGATCTGTAAACGCAGGACCGATTTCGCTCGAACATGGCTAGGGTCCCTAATGGCGATCGTGTGGTCGCCTTCAAAGGCACCTCTCTTGAGTCTCTGGCAAACATCCTGGCCAGCGGGCTTGATTCTCGCTTCGACGCTGTCTTCCTAGATGGCTCACACGAGGTGATGTACGACATGCGAAAGGAACACGCAGGCTAGGAGTAGCACGTGCTTGGCGACGATTTGGAAGGATTTTGCTCGGCCGGTCCCAGAGAACCATGTTGTATGTACCAGCACGGCCGGATTGCGTTACCGTGCTTTAGGGTACATTTAGCCCAGCCCGTTTCTCTTGTAGCTTTACCGTTAAAGCGTGGCGTCGGAGCGACTCCTTTGGGTGGGGGGCACATACGACGGGGTCTGACGGAGTTCGTGGTTTGACGTTTGATCGTGAAAGCGATCTTGCATCCGTGACTCTACCGGATTGACCTTCAGAAGAGTTTACTCGGTGGTCCTCTCAACTGGCTGCAGGCTGAGCAAGCTCGGTCGTGGATTGATTCTTTAAAACCATTGGACCCAACACATTCGGTAGGGCCCAAAGAACCAACCCTCTCTGTCAGCAGCTATCTCCCAAGAACCTACTCCCCACTTCACCAAGAGCTTTGAGGTGATCACCCTGTGCTTTACTGCCCCAACTTGCCCGCCCTTTCTCCCACCAGTAGTTAAGGTGGATGCCCGGGCAAAACGCGGCTCTGACGTTCGTATACTGACCTATTGAGAAACCTGCAGATAATCTTTAAAAAAAACTGCACGCATACGGCATCGGGAGTTGTATCCGACGAATGGTGTTTCTTTGTCTCAATGACATCCACGATAACTATTGGTATCGCTCTTGCGGTGACAAAGCTTGCAACAGTGTCGATGCCATCCCTCTGCCGGTCCTTATCCTCACCCAACACGAAACAATGAGTGAGGTATAGAACGGCCTTACGACAACTGGCCGAAACGCGATGTTCGACAATGAACGAGCGGTGAACAGAGGTTTTGACTATATCAGAGAAACCCCTCCAGTTGGGGATGAAAGTAACATTATTGAAGCCGGATGACGTACAATATTGAGTGCGGCGGAACCCTGATCGTGGCCCTCCTATCCTCCCAACATCATTTCCCCCCAATTTACACCGTACCCCGCCATCAGATGAAGAATGTGTTGAGGGACGCGCTCTTGTCGTTCCGCATGCTCAAGGTGGGAGGTGTTATGATCTTCGACGACTACTGGATGCGAGGGGTAGCGCATGCGACAGCAGCGTTCGAGGAAGCACTCGGGGACTACCTCGAAGTTTTGCACAGAGACGAGGTAGGATTCTCACAATCCTGGCTTATCTCCGAAACCTCATTGCAAGCTAAGTGAGAACAAGCATGTGCACAAGGCGTAGGACACATTGAGTCTCTCAGACCTATGAGTACGGCGTGGGCAACTATGCAACGAAGAATACGGTTGGTTTCCTTTGCGCGATACTGACCATGGCTTGGGGTAGTGCCGGATGAGGTGGCGGACAGTAAACTACTGGAGTATGCGGCGGGATTCGCCGGAAGAACACTGCACGTAAACCCGAAACAACACCCTTCTCGGCCACAGTCTAAATTTGACCTCGGGTCATTCTCGCTGCGGCATGTCCACCTACCCCAGTTCTTGCCTTCAGAGAGAATACTGAGGGGGAGTCTGGAATGGTAGCGTACATGTACGCCCCCCAAGTCAGTCGAGGCGTGAGTACAACCCAAAGTAGTAGAGGGAAGAAATCATGTACCCTAGGGTGTCTTCGATCCTTCCAGCAAACGAAGATCCCACACACTATTCACGAATGCTTTTTTTTTCTCGCGTGCTTGTGGCCGTTGTTGGCAGACCCATCTGGTGGTGACTAAAGCGGCCAACGAACGCTTTTCGACACACGGCAGCGAATTGCTGCTAGGCGACAGTTCAAGACTGCAGAAGCTGACCAGCCGGAACCCCACGGCCTAGACTAGATAAGGATAAAGCCGACGTCGTCGCTTGTGTCCGCTTTCTTGTCGAGGAAGACAATGACGGTCAGGGAAATAGTAGAATGACTACGTTGCAGGTGTGCTGATCCAGGGTGGGTTCACTGGCTGTGTGTTTCTTTTTTGGTTGTGGCTCATACGTGATGCCTGGCAAATCCATGACTCGCTCCAATCCCTGGTTTCCCCGGCTTTGTTGGAGAAACACCAGGGACTCCTCGCCATCATTGCTGTACCATACAAACTCAACAACCTCAGGATATTTGTACGTCACAAACGTAGCACAGCAGCACAGCAACGTGATGAACCTATCTTGGCAAAAGCTGCGTGACTCGTCGAGCGGGTTAAGTATGACTAAATGTTAAAATACGTTATGGTCACAAGTTCATATGTGCTTCACAAACAACATGACGTAGTGTTTTCTGCATATCTGTTGGCCGAACAATAATTCACTGCACTTCTCCTCCGTTAGTCACGGCAACACTCCCACGCACGACGACATCGATGCCAGCGGCGACGTGGGTGACATATGTAGACCCCGTGAGCAACCTTCAAGATGCGGCGAAAGCTGTGGCGGTTCCGGTTTGAGCCATTAGCTTACGGCTAACAAGAGCTTCTAGTCTTGACTTCTCGCCAAGCACCAATTCACTGTCATGCGTCGTAAACCGATCGTCGGCCACTTTAGTCACCACCAAGTGGTTCTGTCAGAAGCAAAAACAGAACGAATAAGACACCGTGGGAAAGAGGAAAAATAATCAGCCGAGAACAGGGCTCAGCAAGCCTTCGTTAAGCAAGAGATCACTCCGGAGCTACATCATGATTCGTTTGTCAAGTAACGTTAACATACTGGTGAAAACCGATCTGTGTCTAAACCTGAGGGGAGCAACAACAGGAGGCATTTGTCAGGCACGTTTTCTCTAATGTGTCCGAGAAAACGGAACGACCATCTATCGTTCGCGCCCGCTGAACTCGGTCTTCAAACCTCACAAAACTCCTTCCTTTGTAGTCCGGCACGTCTCCCGCGAGTATGATCAAGGTACAATCGGGCACCCACGTTGTCTTTGTGAAGTACTTGAAGCGAGTCCCAGAGAGCTTCTTCGAACGCCGCCGTCGCTCGCGCTACTCCCTTCATCCCGAAGTCGTCGAATATCATGACTCCCCCAACTTTGAGCAGCCGAAACGACAAGAGCGCATCCCCCAGTGCATCCTTCATCTGATGACCGGCCGCAGCGTGGGGTACGGGAGAGGGTGTACTCATGGCCGTGCATGGCATAGTCCTTAGACCATTGACCTCGCATCCCAACAAAGCCGGGACGGAGCGCCAGATACTCACCGAACCAAGCTCTCACATCACCAAGCGCGAAGCGCCATGAGGTGTTCGGCGAGTCGCATGCAGAATGGGCTGCATCCTGCTATGGGTGTTCGGCATGTCGCGCTTACTTCCTTGCATACGGATGACAGCTGCGAATGACTTGACATATTCTCTGAGCACTGTGTAACTGCCTCGAGGGTGCTTGACCAACTAAACACCACGTGGTGAGATCATCCCCTTTGCGTGGAGTGAAGGTTCTCGACCGAGCACAACATGATCTACTCGGCCACCATCATGGTAACCGTAAAACAAAACCATAGGCAAAAAGAAAGCGTAACCTGGTTGTCGAGCTCACGAAGCGATCGGAGTGTTTTTAACGTCTTCAAGCAACGAAAATCCACGGGGCGTGGCGCGCGGGGGCGATGATACACGGTGGGCGGTGAGGGTGGTTGCAAAATTTCCACCCATATGGTCTAAATGACTGGTGTGTACGTCCTGTGATCTGTGCAAGTGTTAGTGTTGGGCTGCGTACCGACGTTAGCTTCCTACGATGAAACCTCGACCCACTCAGCAAGTGTGTGGCTCAGTGCATGGCACCGGGTTTCGTTCGTACTTCACAAAAAATGACTGCACTCCATGCTTCAATTCACAACGCAGCCGACTGCATGGCCCAGGCTTAACCCGTTATCACGCGACGGTCATAGCAGCCGCATGCTGCCATCGACGATTCATGCCGTAGATTCGGCCCATTCATGTCAATGATACTACGCGAGTGCAACCGTATTTCGGTCCTTCCTTCCCCACAACTTTACGGCCAGGTGCGTGGACCTGTGATCCGTGCTCCAACACAGTTAACATCAACACAGCGCCGACCGGGCACATGAGTGGATCCTTTCGGCTGTCGGTGACGCATTCATACTTTGCTGAAACGGGTGGGGAAGTAGCCCTCTTCCATCTGTTTTGCTCCCAAGCTTACCTCGTGGGAAGCATCGATGTAGACGACATCGAACGACGCGGTCAATCCTCTCGCGACAAGGCCTGCCAAGGATTCCAATGAGTCGCCCTTGAAAGCGACCACACGTTCGCCATTAGGAGCCTTCCCCATGTTCCAGTGGAACCGCTCCTGATCGTCTCGTTGAGCGGGTTTAACGGGGGTGGTGATCAATTCGAGTGGGCGCGAGATGTGAGACGTGAACCACAGATGGGAACTGCCGGATGAAGCGTTTCTACAGTCGAGATCTATAGCGAGTACCCTTGTACCCCGACGCAGACCTATCACATCAGGATGGCTCGAGGAACTGTTTGAAGCTGCGATGCATCGGACCACCTATCTCCTAACGACGTCTGAATTTCTCAAGACGGAGAGAATAAGCCCCCAATCGTTTCGAGGCCTTGGAGCTGCCAGAATTTCTCTAGATTCTACCAACGCGGTTTCGCAATTTACAACACGTGGCCAACGCACGTGAGACGCACACGCTCTGAGTAGCTGTCGCGGTAACTTGTGCAAGGGCAAAATAATACCTCTACAGAGACCATGAAGGTTCCTGTGTTCTCCATTTCTTTGCCCCCGTCCCACGTGTCAAGGCACACCAGGAGTGATTCTGAATGCTTCAAGAGGTGCTCCGCAACCCATGATGCGGACGCCCCTTCCCAGCTACCACTCTAAGCACCGCCCACGAACGGCACGCGAAAACAAAAAAAGAGACGTGTTGGAATCCGCATTTTTTCTTTGCGGACGGAACAATCGCATCGATAGCTCGAAAGACAAGGTTAGATGTGCGATATCCACACAATCGAAAACAAAGGTTAGTGTACGAGAACATTCTACGCGTGTGTAAAATCGTTAACGCATGCAACGAGAACTTGTTTGCTAATCAGCCACGTCCCTCGCAAACAACAATAGTAGTACATCACACTGAACGTGTGGTGGTTGCATCGAATACTGCGAAAATGCTGCGGAGCTGAAGGTGCTCCCGCCTCCCTCTGAAGGACGAATGAGGAGAGCATGACATTACGGTAGAAAAGCGCCGTCAAGCACAAGTAGAAATGAAAACGTTGAATGGGGTATTTATCTTCTACAGCTTTAGTTATATTTTCTACGTTGTCGCTATTACCTCGAGCACGAAAAATGGGCGTTCTTCCGCAACTTCCATCATTTCTCCCAAGAAGTTTTGGAAGATGCTCTTGCTACCGGTTGTCTCGAACATGTATCCTGTCCGGTTGTAGCCGTGACCTTCGATCTGCGCAATCCACAAATACATCACCACGTGCCGACGACAGCACATAGCACAGGGAGGGAAGATGTTCACAATTGCTCATCACGGGATACTTTTTGGGAGCAAACGACGAGATTTGCACACTGAATAGCCGGGCCCGATGTTCTTCGGTATATAGGATTCGAAAACGCAAACCACCACGTATGTTTGTACAAACGTTCGAAAATGTCTGCGTAGCAGGAACACCCCCCCATCCTGTCGTTGACCCTTGTTGTTTTGTTGTTGTTGTTGTCTTCGTTACCAAACTCACAACAATAAAACCGTACCGGCGGCTACGTACTTTCTGAAATCTGTAGTGGCCCAACTGACGCGGACGTCTTCATTGGTCGCAACCGGTAGTAAGAACATACAGTAGCTATACCTATAGCCCAATAGGGTGCATGCTTGTATGAATACAAACTATTCAGGAGGACGCAAATTCATATCAGCACAAGATCTGTATGGAGGCGTAGGAAAAGCGAAGAGGGAATGGATTTTTCTGGCCATTTAGCCTGACGTCATATCGTCAATAAAGTCAGTTTCCCTCACAAGTATCCTCAGGTCTTTCGTTGCGGTGGTTGAGTGCACCATAATACGCGCTGACAATACTACCTTTCGTTGTCTCTAGGCTAACATCCTGTCATATGGGTTGTCGCTTTCGGTCACCTGATCCTCCCAGTGGGCGATTGCAAGGGCTTCATGGTAGTCGGTCGCACCCATCTCTCGGCAGCCCTCGGTAATCAAGGCACGAACCTGCTTCAGGATGGAAAACGAGCGTAGATTCCCCGCAACAAGAGTACCTCCCACCGTGAATAAAAAACAACGTGTCCTCATCCAGAACAGAACATGGTTGAAATATATCTCATTCCTTTCCTTGGAACATCTTCGGATGTTGGTCATATATGGGTAGAACTTTTAGTTGGTCGACCGAAGATCAAGTGACACCTCAAAGCTCTTGGATGACTCCGTTGACACGTTATCCCACGGACGAAACCCGGGGACTTCTGAACGAAGGCGACAGCGCGGACGCGGACGAAACGATGCACAGAATGGATAGAGGTTTCGTGTCCAGGTTCTTGATTCTTCGTTTCGACAGCGTGGAGTACTTGCCAGCAGTCTGGATATTCGATGGTTTGCTTGGTCCATTAGTTAGCAGTCACAGCAGCGTGCCACCTGTACGACTACCGCGTGTCCAGCTCCACCAAAAGACCAGAGTACGCGCAGTACAAAGCTAACGCTAGGCTCGTATTGCGGAGACAGATCCAGGCGCGGTGATAGTGGGCCCGTATGTCATGCTACAGGAAACTCATGTCAGGGATAGAGGAGTGCCCTAACGCCCAACGTTTACCCTTCTTGTAGGGTATGAAGGTTGAGAGTTACTCCACGATATCATGTCTTCGCGCTCTGGTGATGTACGATAGTACTTGTACCGAAACCGATCGCGGAAGTCGGGGTTGGTGCTAGCTCCAGGAAGTCCTCTGGTGGTCGTATAAAATCCCAAGATTAGGACTACACCTCCGTTAGGAACGCATGCGGTGAACCAACATGAAATATGGTAACTGCAGCATGTTTTCTGGCAATAGACTATTGCTGCTGAAGTCATTTATTCGCAGAAAACCTCCGAGAAAGTATGAACGTTGATCTGTAAGGGGCAGTCGTCGTAGAAATAAAACAACCTAAACCTGCCAGTTTTATGGGGAAAACGACTGGCCGAACCAACAGCTTGGCAATTATGGACAGGTTCAAGATTTCGGGCGTAATCTACATTATGTGCACACGTTTGATTTTGTACAAATTTCCATGGAAGGAAGTTGTACACGTTTCCATGGATTCCATTCAATTTCCTTCCATGGAAGTCGTAGGCAAGCTGTATGTACTCTGGTGGTCGGTTTCTAGCACCAGCTTCCACGATGCTTCCACATGGAGGAAGTTGTCAACAACTTCAATGGAAGTTGATCAACATCCATCCATGGAAGCCGTGGGTACAACCTCTGGTTCCTCTGGTGGAAGCCACATTGTTAACCTCTACGAAAGCGCGAAGAGCATTCATGGAAAGTTAAAACTTCCAGGAGTGTAGCCCTCCCCTCGACGTAGTCCCCGGCTAATTGTATGGAAGAACGAGACTTCCATGAAAGCAACGTTGGCACTCCGATGGAAGCTACCGACATTTGATGGGATAGCTCAGCGAAAAACGAGACGACCATAGAAGCTATTTCAAGCTTCTATGGAAGTTGCACATGAACATTTCCTACAATATTATAGCTTCCACAGACAGACGGTCGTTCCTGTAATTTTCATGGGAGTCTCGGTCTTGGCTTCCACATTCATGTCAAACTCGACCAGCTCCCACGGATGTCGCATCGACTACCACCTTCCATGGAAGCTACACATATTTATTTGCCAAGTGTAGATTGGGGTAGCCAACAAGCCACGAGCCTGGAAAAAATAAAGGGAGCTCTAAGTTGTGGGCGGGGAATCTGTCACAATGTTGCTCCTTGTTCGTGGGTGCATGATGATGCACCGGCGGGAACATTCCCCGAACTGCTGCTGCCCTGTGGGGTGGTGTTTCCCCAACGTCTGTCGAGGACGACTCCCTCTCTCACACACGCAACACATTTAATTCGTGTGTGATGCTGGGTGTGCTCTTTCGGCCGTACTCAAAGTCAGAGGTTACCAACCGGCTGGGTATGCTACAAACAAACATCGTTTTATGTGCTGCAGGAGGGATGATATCCATATAGAGAGATTCAGCAGGATATTTCCCGACCGAGTGTGGTCTGGTTCCTACACTATACATGTATCTCCGCAGAATGGAAAAAAATGTATAGACTAGTCTGTAGATATTTTGCATGCTGAAATCCAGGCACACAGCAACAGAGCTTCCACTATTAGCGTGTACGCACGCATGTACTTCGAGGTAGCATTCAAGTGTCTGGGATACACCTGCCTACAGCTGTTGCATGAACTGAACAAATGTCGGAGGTGCAGTGTCACACCAAGCATATCACTTACATTGTACCATCCTTTTGTACAGGGTACACCGGGGAGCCAACCAGTAAATATATTTACCTCGGCTTCGTCGGCGCTGTCCCGCATCGGCATAGTATGGCTTTTCCCAATATCAGCAAAAGCCAGCGTCAGCGTAGTCCATCCTTCTGGTGCACCTGGTCCTTCCACTTCTGCGGGCGGTTCGAACGTCGAGGGAGGTGATGCCAGAGAGTTTCCTTCGGGGCTGGCGTTGACCCAACGGCAGATATTCAAAATGATGGCCGACATGGCAACTGCTGTTATCCAACAAGCGGATAGAGACGGACCACAAGGAGCAACTCCTCCTATGCATAGTCCAATCTTCATTTCAACTGTTGAAGCGGAGCTTATGCTGCTGGGATGAAGTTGACCAGGCCAGCAAAGGTTACTCAATTTTGTCGGTGGCGGAATTTACCGGCTGTTCACGAGGTAAGATCAAAATCTACGGTTCTATCGTGTGCACATCTCCCACATCTCCGGTTTTATTGGTTGGTATCTCCAAGGAATAGATGGGAACGTGCTGACGACGCCACACGTATCGGAGGAATCGTTCACGCTACACGCTACACGCTACACCAACAGTGTACCTCTTTCTCTCCGGCCCATGATAGATAGTGACTGCTAATCTCAGTTGATACCCCGCATAGCGTGAAGAGGGAGCGGAGGATCCCAGAATATCTGTCGTTGATTGCTATTGACTTGCGGACCCCTCCGGGGCCAGTTTATTTGAGTGTACCTTTTTAGGGTAAGTTAACCTGTGACCACGGGAATCGACCGCGTCGAGTGTTGGATCAGTACGGACATACGAAGGTACTGGGTAGAGAGAGATCGGAACGGTTTTTAATGTGAAGACAACAACAACAACAACAACAACAACAACAACAACAACAGTCATTGCCTGGATCACCGCCTCGCTGTACAATCTGCATCTTTGGAGAACCATCTCCGCAGATCGCTCGGAGATCTACCGAATCTACTGTACAAATACCGTACATATTTTCGGAGATACTGCTGCACCGTAGATCTGGAACCTTTGACCATCCATCCCTACGCCAGATTGTACGTTGCCACGGTCACGATCTATGGGACAAGCCCCCGCCCGGTAGAGGCAGTCGAGGGCACGCATTCCAACTTTTGCGTAACACTTTCGGTTGTGCCACATTCGACGAGTGGAGTGCACGGCGAGGGCAGTCTGCTGTCAATGTTGCCATCTCTACCCGCTGCATCGAAATTCACATTAGCCGTCCTCCTTGTAGGAACCTGGCATGGCAACGTGAGCTCTACATCAGTGGAGGGTGGGGTAACAGAAGCTACCCTTTCACCCGTGTCAGCACCAGCACGAAACGAGGCAATCGCATCGGAGGGGTGGACAACGTTGATTCTTGATGGTGGTACCAAAAGGCAGACAGTCATGGTCAGGAACGACGCCGACGAAACAGAGGTACAATTATACCACTGTATACTGCTTGTTCTTAACCGCGTAGCCCGTCGTGACGCAGGACTTACCGACGCCCGGCGCAGCGTAGCCTTTTCACCAATGTAGTTCTCCGGTAGGACGCGCCATGAGGCCTGCTCGGCTACGGTTAGGCATGAAGTGTTGCATAGGAATACACGCCAGCTCCACCAGGCCGGTTGGTTTGGGTTACAGCGGTACAGACGAACACCGGTGGACGACCGCCTGTGCCATCGTTGTTTTTTTTGGCGCAGGTTTTCGCTTCGATTGCTGAAGGCGGTCGAGAAGCCGGCATGACTGAGCCGCAGATCGCCGACGTTACTGCTAAGTGGAAGCTCGTCGAGGTGACTATTCGCGTAGCCCGGGGGGGAAGCAAAAACTACTGTAGACAGACCTTTACTGGGTTTTTATATTGCGAGCATGCCTACCATGTGAAATATCTTCGTTTAGCTTGTGACCACGGAAATGTGTCCGTTCGCCTTGCACAACAAGGATGACGTTCACCACGATAGATACGACGGCCACCATGTATCCCTACTACGCCGACTTATTTGTTTCCTACAGTTGTGTTCCATATGGGCAAGCGGGGCCCTTGTCCATCCCCCAAAGAGGTGGGACTCTCAGGGAAGTCGGTGCTTCCTGTAAGCACAAAAACTTGCAGGTACGAGAGTTTGGTGACCACGGGGAGAGTCACAGCGCCGTCTGTGACGACGTCGGGGGCGTCTACATACTGCTCAGCGAGTACGGTGTGTGTGATGTCGTTGGATGGACAAGACAAGGAAGGAAGAACTACAAGCTAGACAAAACTCACCGAGTATTCAATAATCAGTTGGACAAGAGCCGCGCAAAGTAGCTTGCGATCGGCCTACACAATGGATTCTACACCTTCCTCGCTCTCCCACACAATCCGAGGTTTATCGCACGGTCTGTCAGCTCGCACGCACCTGCAGCAACTTGCCACCATATCTGCTTGCTGGTCCGGCAAACGTGGTCAATCTATCGTCAATCTGCTGTATACTAGACAACACAGAATGACAAGTCTAGGGCAACTATCTTCTACTGAGCGCAGCTAGGGACACCACAGAGCAGAGATAGTCACATTTGAGCTTGGTTAATCGTCTACTTACAGTAGCATCGATTCATGGTTGCGGAAACTCTCGGGGAGTCGGTAAACGTGAAGATTCTTGCTGAAAATACCCGCTCGAGGGAAGCTTTTTCCTCCCGACAACTATCCAACGCCCACAGGACACCACCAGACTTTTAGTCGACGGACCTTAGCGTTCCCTCGACGGAGATTGCGCTTCCCCTGCACTTCGATGAACTTGATGTATTGACGAGGATACCCCCACACACGACAGTTGCGGCGCTAAGTGAGATATAACCACCAGGGTCAACGATGCGTACATTTCTTTTGCGGGAAACTATTACCACACCGTCACATCTGCGACACAATAAAGTCCAGAAGATACCGAAATATATACTCCTAGTTTCCGTCGAACGTATGACATTAAATCCGTCGAACTAGCAGGCAAGATATTTTCCTGTAACGTTGTAGGATTTCACGCCAAAGTTGGGAGCCAAGATGTCGACGGCGGGTCAGAAGGGAATCCGCTGGAGCGTTTTACGGCCCGCATGCATCGACCTTGCGTCGAGTTTGAATCGTCTCGCATCGCGGAAAGGTTTCTGTAGCGGTGTCTTCTTTTGGCGCTCTCGTCAGGTTCTCGGAAAAGCCTACGGGGTGGCCGATCATTCATACTATGGAAACAGGTCGTCTTCTACTTCAATTATCTCGTCACTAGAAGACGTGCTCTCCGATGGTGTGTCTTTCGTCACGGTGTGGCAACGGTTGAACCCTGATTTATGGTACCACCTATCTCGAGAAGGGAGCGGCGGTCGAAAGCCACCGGGCATCGTTCCGTGAGTCCCTGAAACGTAGTCGTCGTTCTCACCAAATGGGCTCGAAAGTCCTACATAGTGTTTTCCGTGTCTCTCCTCGTAAAGTCGCGCACCTTTCAGCTTTTATTGAACTCTACAAGCCCGGTTCGTTTGTATCATTTGGTTTTCCCGCCCATCCCATGTCTGCCGGCGTGTTGGCAGGCCTTCCTTCAGATAGAGCTGATCATTTGGCAGTGACGATGCTATGTATGCTTACGGACATTGTTGTTGGACGTGCAAGCGTGTTGCAGTTGGTTCAAGTGCCCGGGGGATGCACGAACGATCGATAAAGAGGGTGCGCAACAAGCGTTATTACATGCTCAACTCCGTCCGTTCTCTTTTCTTTCGCTTGGGTGAACATGTTCCGAATTTCCCGTGCCCTCGATCATCAATTGCCGCTCGTTCTTGGGCAGATCTGGGACAATCCCCGCGGAGTGCTCAGCGAACAAGTCCAAGAAGGATCCCTGTCGCTGTTAACCTCGATTGAGCACAAGAGATCTACCACGTCATGGAATGACCAGGACAAGTTTGACACTAAAAAAATATTTTTACCAACGCAGTATTCTACGTCCTCATTGTCGGGCGATTCCTCTGCGAGAGCGTGCGCAATGTGAGTTTTATTGAATGCAATAATCAAAACTCACCCGAGCCTGCTGCAATATATTTTCAGTATTCTTTGAATTTGAGCAAGTTGTTGTTGACGGTAATGCTAGTTGAGTCATGGCGTTCGCAATAATGTTCCAAAAAATCCACTTCAGGTAACTCGTCCATATGTAGGTTTTTCCCGTTGCTCTAGGCAGGATTTGAGGTAAAACGTGGTTGGCTCCAAAAACCGCTCATGGTGCCACCGTCTACTTCATGAACGCTGTTTGCGTTTCGCCACCTCGGTGAACCCTGAACAAAGCCAAAAGACCACTCACGACAGGCTTGTGTTGAGCACTTTGTACATCACAGGCTGGGAACGATCCGCAAAGAGTTAAGCTGGGATTTTCCCGGAAGCATTCTTAGAACTCACTTGCTTGGCCTCGACAGCTTGAGAGAAGAGACTGCCGGCGTATATGGGGATAAAGAAGCGTCTTTGTTCAAGAACACGACCGTGAACCCTCAATTTCTCCCAGGAACGATGACCACAAGAAGATGCTAACCCACGTGGATGTTTGGGAAGGTGCTTCGAAGACTATGCCAAGGATATTCTGCGGGATATTCACTCACAGGAAAAACCACTTCACGAAAGTGAAGGTGTGTGCGCGCTCGTTCCAGGTTAACCCTCGTTTGATGACGAACACCCGCAGAAGTATTCTGCACTTGGTAGTGCCGATAGTTGCTGTCGGCCTGGCGAAACAAAGGTTACGGTGTCACATCACGACGATCTTGGCCCCTGTGGAAAGCGCCAGCGGTGGCACCTGTTGCAGCTTTCGGACCAATGCGTCGTGACTGGAAGTTCCTGTTGCATTCGACTGTTTGACATTCTTACAGCTGAGCATCATACAGAAACGATGGATATTGCTGGAGTCTTTGAGACTAGCCATTTCAGACGTCAGGAAGTCTTGCGCCAGCCCGTTAATAAACGACCTAGATTGGGAGTTCAAACCCCGAAACAACGCGTCTCTTCCGAACTTTGTGCCTAATAGAGAGCGCGTTGTTCGCCAGACCACGCTTGGGAAGGACAGCACAAGCCTCCTGGCCTTACGTTTCGAACGCTGCACCGCAACTAACTTTAAGTTGATTCTCACTGGGTGGTGGTGGGTCACAGGCGATCAAGGAGACATGGGCGGTCAACTGTGACGGTTTTGTGGCCTTCAGCGACGCTGCTGACCCCGACCTCCACACGTGAGAATATTCCTGGTGTATGCAGGCTTAGCTACTGCCTAAGAGGCTGGTATCTCAATAACAATCTGGTCGCCTAATCGAAAGCGCAGGCTCACGGTAGCCTGACGTTTCATCCGTGGTTGAAAGTCAACAAACACATGTACACGACGACCCGAAGCCCGACATAAGCTGCAACACATCTGCCACAGAAACTTCCACGCGTTTTCTCGGAGACACTTTACTCAACCTGACACGCTACCGGGCTGGCACTGGACAGGTTTCAGATCGAGCACGAGGGTCCGGAAGAGTATGGCAACATGTGGCAGAAAAGCAGGGCAATTTGGAAGTATATCAACTTCCACTACAAGAACGACTTCGATTGGTTCCTTCTTGGTGGCGACGACCTCTTCGTCATCGTGGAGAATCTGCGCAAGGTGTGCTGAGTACCCTTCGATCCTCACACGGCTTGAGCCGAGTCATAGATGTTGTTGACGATAGACAATGGTCCCGGAAAACGCCCTGAAAGTAGAATGAAACACCATCGAAACATTAGAATTTCGACATTTGTGAACTCGAATTCAACCGTATGCGAGCTCAATGTGAATAGGAACTGGTTTCTCTAACTAAGATTTGTTGTCAGTGGCCTGACCTGTAAATATCCCCCCCGAACGTCCCAGCCCGATCGTGCCCTTTCGGGATAACAGTGCCGAGCATAGGCTCTTGAAACTCTCGTGGATAGGGCAGGCTACGGGTTTCATCTAGAAAAGCCAAGGTTTTTAGAAAGCAGTCTTTTCCGTCCTCTTTCGTGTCCGCTGAGCACGGAATGTTGGAACGCTCGGAACAAACTTGGACTTTGGTTGGTATTGCTCTACACATCGGACGACCCATGGGCCGCCCATGGGCCGTCATCGACGTCTCAAATATGCAAAACCAATGAGTCCGCATGGACCCCAAATCAAGTCCCATGAATATTATTGTAGCGGCCTATCGGTCAGCCAATACGGAAGATGGTGACGGCCCAAGGGCGGCCCATAACGATCCATTAGGCCATTGCGCGGGCAAAGGGTCATGGACGACTTTCGACCGTTGTCGGTTGCATGAGGGCCGTGATGGGTCGTTTGTCCAGGCGCATGAACCGCATGACGACTACGATCAGAGGATGACCCATGAGGCGAACTGATAGGGCGTTCCATGAGCGCACAAGTGCCAGGATAGTTAATGTACACGCCCGGAGAAACCTCTCGCATTCGTACTCCTTCGGAAGTACATGAACATATTCTGTACACCGTGGGGGTCCAAAGTGGTTTGCAGTCTATCTGAGAAACCGGTTCCATACACGGGAGGTAGAACCTCTTTGGCGTGGCATGCATAGGAATTCTGACTGCGGATCATCTTGTAAAACGTAGTCTGGGCTAGCAATCATCCTTCCTACGCTCTTCCTTGTAGTAGGAGAGATGCGAGACCAGACCGGCACTCTAACGACTACGACACACTCGAACTGATTCCACCCTTCCCACCTTCCGTCGCGATCGGCACCTAGTATTTGCTATCAGACGAGATCATGCACGCGGCTGGGGGGGGGATAAACGGAGGCCCAAACCCCATGTACCTGGGAAGACGTCTACGGCCCTTCAACGACGATGAATGGATATTCAACAGCGGTGGGGCGTCGTACGTGTTGAACCAAGCGTCCGTCGGGCTGTTGGCGAGCTACTTGGACGAGGATGCCTGCCAGCCACATAAAAAGACCTCGTGGGAAGATGTCATGGTAAATTTAACTACTCTAGTAACGGTACCGCGGGCGTTACCGATTTGCAGAGACAAATGTACACAGTACCAGAACGGCCGGCGGGCCAAGGAATGGAGTGTCGGAAAAAGAGGATCACTGGCTGACTGTGTGACATCGTGCACCCAATAGTAGCTCCCCCAACTCCATGGTTGCGTGTGGGATATATACCAAGTCTTGCACAGTTCTATCATACAACCCCCAACAACGGGGGGTTGGTGCCCGGACAGAGAATATCTTGCAGTCGGCAGCCAAGGCTTTGAGATTGTGTGAATCTGACGCCTTGGTGGCGCAACTCGTTCGCCGGCGGTATCAAGTAACATTTTATGCCTATTTTCCGGCAAAACTCAAAGTACCCGGGATGGGGGTGACTCTCGGACGCCAGGTCGCGATGTGCTTGAAGAAGAACGGCGTGGTAGCATTCGACACGCGGGATGCTTCTGGGCGTGAGCGCTTTCATCCCTATACTCCGGCGGTTCACTTCGGGTAAGTAAGCGCCTTTTCTCGCTTCTCGCAAGATCATATACAGTTCCGTGTCCCCGTCGTGTGACAGATGTAGGCAAAACGCAGACTAAAACTATTCTTCATTTGCAGGCAGGCTTGTTATGCATACGTCACTGCAGGGTTTCGGGTTTGGAGATCGAGAGGGCGACTTCAGCCGAACGTTTTGGCTAAGGGAGTGTTTTGAGAATCTCAATAAAAAAATTCCCCACACACAACACCCATGAGTGTACTGAAACCTCTGTCCCAGCTCCGGGGTGCACAGAATGCGCCTGTACTTTTATTTTGCCTGGGCCTATTTTCTAATATATTCTCCGTGAGGTAACCAAACAATTACAACACAGGTTTAATGCGTAGGCTTCTTGGCTGGGCACCTGCTCTTATCGTCAAGTCAAGTTTTTTTTTTGTTGTGCTCACTTCTTGACTGCCTATTTGTTCAAGCGTGAAATTACACAGGTTCTAAAGGACTGTATGCCAATATCTGGGATAGACTGTATCGTATCCCCCCTCCGTTCGAGGCGTGGAATATACAGAGTGTGGCCATCCTTATGGAATATTCTGCGTGAGTGATCGGCTGAGGTTTTATATGCTGCATGTTGGCCCAACGTCACTGAAAATGAATGTGTTCTAGCGGGAGGTGATGCTGGCAAATCGTGTGGTAGTTTTCGATGTTCATCTCAGAGGTACCTCAGGGTGCACTCTTCAGAATTGCCAACCTGAAGAGGCCCCTGGTGAGGAGCAGAGGTTATCGACGACAGTGCGCATATGGGGCGACATCCTATTGTTGCAAAAAAAAACGCCCGTCATGCGTAGGACGAGACGATGACCATGTCATCAGAGTTTTCGCATACGGCCCTGCCCGCATTGCTTTTGCATGCCATCTCCAATTCCCTAAACTTCTCTTGTATTTTCTTCGACCGGTGCGTTGCGCAATTCCCTATAGTCTCTTGATGTCCAAGCACTTCTCACGTTAAGTTCCCTGGTCTACGGTGGTTTTGGTAGCTCCCCCCTAACTGATGAGACCCATCTTTCAACTGAGAGAAGTACAGGAAAAAGTTTATGTGTGGGCCGGTACTGAAGTACACAAATGGCATAGACCTTGTTTATTCGTTTTCACCTCCTCCAGGCCATAATCTGTACGCTAAATAGCTGTTTCTTGGTGATGATAGTCTGCCATACATCTTTATTTCATCCCTTGCTTCATCGTCGCTCTGACGTCTGTGGCAGGTATCGCACGCCGATGAGACCGGAGGATCGCCTTGTATCGGGAATTGTGGTTGGTGATTGGTACATCGGCATGGCGATTGACCTGATTTTCGGTCTTGAGGGTTGCTCGAGCGACTCACTCAGCTTTCACTACGTAGATGAAGATCTCATGAGGCGGCTCTACCATTTAGTCTACTCGTGCGGCAAAGACCCGGCAGATGCTGTAGTCCAAGCACCACATTTGCAGCTTCAGCAAAGCAGGGCCGGGGGTCAAGAAGAAATAGAGAGGAAATAGGTATTGGAGCACTACTGCGGACAGCTGCAAACCAACTGATTTCGATGACAAGGCGTTGATTGGGGCCTATACAACGTTGCGCAATCCAGATCTTTCGAAATTGCAAGGTGAAAAGAAGGGCAACCAGTGTCACTTTCGCCCTCTCTATCCTATAAAAGAATGTACCTCAGCCACAATTCCACATTTGCGGCTGCTCCTCCTTATAGCCATGGAGCGTTTAAACGATGGTTGAGATACACTTGAGTTTTCCCGGAAGGAGGAGGGTGCGTCTGTCGCTGCCGCTGTCTCGAAATAGCTACCAATCAATACTGTCTCCTCACTTTGCCGAAGTTGCGCACCCCTTCAAAGTACCACGATCCCCGCCAAGGATCATAGCAGAAGGAATATTCTTCGCCGAAATGTACCCAATAACTAAAGAGCCTGACCAAGGGTGCTCACTGATGAAAAATGGTCGCGACACATCTGTATCGAACCCCGTATGAGGCGAACCGCACAACGTGGACGACCTTTAGTCGAGCCATGCTCCACTTGGTGCGCATTTTCCTAATTAAGTCATGTCCTTGCAGGCAACGTTAACGGCCGAACGTGCTGTCGATACAGAATACACCGATCCATACATGACGTGCCTCAAGAGTCGGATTAACTTTGTGAAGCGCTGAGTGAAGCGCTGAGTGAGACACCCGTCGCCCTTTCCCGGTAACCTGGCAAACCAATATAATCCGTGTAGTCCAGGGGGAATCCATTGAACAAAGTAGGGAACGACACCGAGAGTAGGATGCACGCCCAGGACCACTTATAGATGTCCACCGAAGACCTTCGGCGAATCGACAGAATCAGCCTGCCGTTGCCCCTCCAGAAGATCTCTACGGAGTTATTCCAGGAAGTTCGCAGAAGTTGGTTGGAGACATACGACGAAGGCAAACGGACGGGCGCGGTAATTGGACAGCTGGTTGAAAGCGTTGAGTGGGTGTGTGTGTAGATTGACTACAGCATCACACCGTGGGGCCGGCTATCCATTGCGATACCGGTCGCGCACAACACCACCTTTCCGACCGATTAATCTTTGGCGCAGGAACGTTATCTACAAAACGTGCTTTCACTGGTCAGTGTCTGCTATCTCACTCGCATTCCCTAAACACGACTGGACGAAAGCGATCTTGAACGTACAATAGACGACCCAAATGGTTATCATAGGAATCTGTGCACACCAAGTATGCCCGAGAGAGTCGCGCACATAAAACATGAATGAAACTCAGAGCTCAGATCATCCATCGCACGACTCACCTTACGAGAAGAAGAATTTCACCGACGTCCGGTTCGTATTTGCCATCGCAAGGCGTGTCCCACTCGCTGCTTCCGGGGTGTCGGGCGTAGATGTGCTGAAGCTGCCGTGTTGCAAAACGCTCGCCGCTAAGATGGAACATTTCGTCTTCAAACAAAGTTACACTGCGTTAGGGGCTCCCGGAGTATTTAGAACCCACACGGCCGAAATATTTGAGAGTTTCATGATACAACAAGACGTCAGTCAGAACACTCATACACCCTGTGCTGCCAAAGGGCATACAGACGGCATATCGTGCTCGCCTCCACACAGAAACGTTAATCACCTTTACGGCCAGGTGCATAAAGCACGCTGCGCAGATTGGTGGGCCTATCTCCAGAACTGGTGTATGTAGCGACGAGACCACCATGTTGGACAGACCGGCCCCGTGGGGAGCCACAATAAGGGAAGCTGTCGCGAACAGCTTCAGCTGCGACATGATAGATCCAATTCCCAAAAATTCCACGATGTCGAATGTTGGGAATTCCTCCTTCAGAGCCTCCCGGACCTTCGTCGGTAGAAACGCAGCGGCGGCAGAAACGCAGCGGCGTGTGTGTTCAAACCACCGAAGGTACGGAAAGCATGCACGCCGCAATCAAACAATCAAAAAGAGTTATGTTGACGTTGCAATACGTTTGCTGTGGGATTCGACGTTGCCGAAACCCTTGCGCAGAGAAATCCGTGAGGGCATTATCCTTAGGCTTGTATTCCGTGTCGTTTAGCGGTTTTCTGAGCGATCGCGATTTCACACCCCACTCTATGGGAGCGCTGGTTATAATTGTTTGGAGAACTCAAATGCAATGCAATCTGATGACAGCGGTTTGCTAACCGTGACACGGTAAAACAACCCTTTGGTGTACCGCGACAAGTTCAAGTCCAAGTACAACGAACTTTGGGTTTACAGTATGCAGCGACCTCAACCTGCATTGCGCCCCTCACCTTTCTGAACCGTGAGTAGTTTGCCGTCCGTCTAAAAACAAGGCCTAAACAAATACCCGCGGGCCAATAAGCAGTGGTTTCACCAGGAGGAGGGTAAGGAAACGAAGGGTTCATTATCATCACGACACGATAGTGTTGCCGCACAGGGCACCCCGGAAGTAGAATGCCACCCTCATCATGAAGAGGAAAATCTCCTCTACTTGAACTCTCGAGGCATGCCATCGACAACAGGTGGCGGCCACAAGTGAAGAAGACCTAATGGCTCGTCAACCTCGGAAACGCGTATATTTTGAGGGAGCTGCTAACAGACCTACCTTGTCGTTGTTTTTCAGCCCTCGTTTATGTTCGCGCACGATGAGCACGATCACCGGGCGCGCAACCGGAACAGGAATTCCCCCCGTAGTGGGATACAACGCCTAATGACCAAGGGTGTGAGTCAAATCCGATGAGCATGCGCACGTAGAAGGGTGGGTGTGAGCGACGACAAAATCAAAGAGCGAGCGCAACTGCCTATGAGGATCGGACCTGCACTAAGTGAAATAGGGAAAACATAGGTTGGAGCGTGAGTGAGTGAAGGTAGTACACGGGGGATGAAATGTTGGTACCGTCAGGACTGGTTTGATCAGGCGGTTTTTTCTTTTTCTCATGGGACGCAAATAGGACGACACATTCAGCGAATAAAACAACCATGGATCTCGGGAGTACCTTGTAGGATAACTCCTCCATCAAATGGACGAAACGGCGCTGAGTGCGAAAGACCGTGCATTCGGGATTTCGCTTCTTTCAGAGTAGCGAACAAGAGGAGCTGGATAGAGTTAAGAATATTTGTTAACATGAGACTCAACGGCAGCCACTCCAATGGAACGTCTCAATATGTAGGATCCAATACCCGCTTGGTATGAGGATCTCTGCCTGCCTGCCATTTTTGAAACGAAGCTCTGTATGAAACCCGTGTGCTGACAAGCCTGGTTTACGGCAGAAGGAAACTGGTCCGCTTGAAAGCTTACCCCCGCCTGCCCGTGCATGACTTGTTGTACATCCATTTATTAACCCAAGCCCGCGACGTCAACCGCGATCACAGGGGTGAAGTTTGAGGTGATAGCTGCACGGAGGGAGGTGGCCGCCGGAAGACGGGTGGGCTCTTTTCGCGGTTGCAAAGTCCGCGAAGCCGCAACAAAGCCTGACTGCACGACAAAGAATACGCACCGACGCTTCCTACGTTGTTAAATCAAGGGTGAGAAGCCAAAGTGCCTCGAAATAATCTGGCTTTGGGCATCGGAGAGGCTGTCGAAGCCACGGTAACTGGTGTTGGTCTGCATATCCTTTAAATAACAATTTCCTCGTATTCTTTTGAGGAATTCTGTACCCTGCGAGGTCCGCCCTCATCGGACGATGTTTGGGGACTGGGAAAAATAACATGTGTCCAAGGCTGGACATCAATAAATGGTGTCGCGGGATATGCATGTCTCCCCCCAGCAAGAAGGCGTCGTATGCATGTACCCGTTGAACTTCGACGCGTAGATGCCAAGTGTACGGCTTTCGCCTTATTGCCCCAAGCTCTCGTTCCTAGGAGGTTAACATTCAATTAATTTAGACGATAAGCCAACCCCACCTGCAAAAGGGCGTGTCTGAGCATGTTGATCATTTGCGTGTCTGGTTGTCCACATGATGTTGAACTGGGCAGAATGGCGAGAACCGCATGGATCTGTGTCGAGAGCAGCAATGGATGGTGAGAGAGACTGGGCGAGGGGGGTTGGAAAGGGGACGGTACATCGCACATTACTTGTGTATCGCCATCATATCTCTCTGCTCTCCTAAACCAGAACCTGCGTTGTCCTCCCGGGGGGTGTTTGACGTTGACATACACGCAGATCCATGAATTACGGAACAGCTGGGTTATTCTTCACATCTTCTTGACCTAGTGGTCCTACCGGGGTAGGTTCACTAACAAGGGCGCAGCTGTATCACATACCAGCGTGCATCAAGCCAGCAGGCAACCAAACCAATTGCCCCAAGTGACTCTTTAGGGTAGTGCAAATATCATGACTATACGCATGAAGATAAAGATGACCGCCATAAAAACGCCTAGTCTGCCTTATCGACATTGACGGGTGCCGCCCTCTCTCGCCAAAGGCACGCCGCCTATATGGTGATACGGTTCGTGCGCCTATGATGGTCATATAGATAGCCAACCCCTTCATGCCGGCTGCTCTACATGATACGGTAGCTTGTGACCGCACTCAAAACAACGGCTTGGTCAAACTCGAGCTGTCTCTTTGTTTTTCGAGCTTTCAATTTCACGTTTTTGTGTGAGCCAAGCTAGGAGAGCCGCTACATGCCCATATCATGGCGATCCTTCAAAAGTAGCTGGACCAACATGGCGTACCTCTTGCTGAACGAAGATGACCCGGTCATTGGATATCCCAAGCAGCTCCAACAACTCAAAAATAAATTTGGGGTGACCCGCCGAGCCAGGTTCGGCGGCATGCACTGCGATCTTACACACGGCGGACGGTGGCGAAAGAGGCGGCGCGAAAACTCCCGTCACAATAGGCTGCGGTGAGGTTTTTCTCGCCGAATTGGTGATTGAGGTGGATGTTCTTTGCGTGTTGGAATCAGTGTTGCTTACCCACGTCGTCTCAACGCCGTGCATCCTGCAAAAAGCATTCCCGTGTTTTAAAAATATCTGATATGTAGGACCCGGAAAAATATGTGCCAACGGCACAATGTTTGCCCTAATCACTAATCACACGTGCTGTGTGCATGATCACTAGTGTGACTTGGCAAGTGATGGCACCTTGATGTCGAGATTCTCCCGGAGGATGTCTAGCATGGGAGTGATCCGTGGTAGATTTTCCACCAGGAAATGGAAGTACTCATTTCCCCAGCGCTGAGTTATGACGAAAACCTTGTCAAATGGAAACAAACATGGAAGATAGCGAGGAATCCACCAGCACGCCGAGAAACGAGTGAGCCTGGAAGGATTCGAGATACTTGACGAAGCGCATCAATGACAGGAAATTACAGGTGTCGAGGCGTCAAAATGGAGGCGGCGCATGGGCCACGTCTTGCCTACCAAGAGAGGGTTTTGCGAGAGAGTTTTATCAGGCGGCTACTTTCCGGCGATCGCAAGCTTGCCTCGTCGCGCTCTCACTATATGGTGGTCGTGACATGGGTTTAGATTGTACCATCACACCAGGACACGTTCCGAATTGAATAGCGTTCGGCGGATTTGCAGGTTAATATGGTGGCTTAACGCGTAAAGCGGGCCGTTCGGTTGTGTTGTGCATGTAGCAAACCTTGTCGTAGCTTTCAGCGCTGGTCGGAAGAGCTGTTCGCCCCCGAGGACCGAGAAGATTAGCCTCGCAGGATTTCGGGACGATGTAGTCCTTCCGACAGGTGAGGTCAACGGTGAAAACGAGGGGAAAAAAACGACACCAAAAGAAAGATGAGCTTGACCCGAACAGGAGCGCCGATCACGCAGAAAAAAACGATGGAAGTCTGCGAGCGGAAAGGAATGTGTTTGCTTGTCCGGTGCGGCATTGTGTATAACATTGAACAAAAGGCACTCGAATTTGGCGCCGAAACTTGAAGCGAGTCCTGGGAGGACACAAGCGTGCCTCTGTGTAGGTCTTGATTCGTTTCCATCCAATCATAATCATGCCCGCAGTTGAAGTACCCACAGCACCTAAGGCCGATTCTCGCCCATTATCCCAATATTTTGCGTTACGCTAACCCTTTATGTTCTTAATTTCTCTCGTTGAAGACAGCAAATGATGAAGCACGAACAACAAAGATATGCCCTCGCCTGGTACAAGCAGCTTCTGTTTGACAGGCGGTAGACAGGGAGTTTTCGAGGATTGATTAGTGTGCAGGGCTCGTTCCGAAGTACCAAAGCAGTCGATCTACTGAACCTCGAGAAACCGCCGACCTGCGGACGTTGTTTTGTTCCAACCGGGAATGTTTCAAACCCTCACTGTCCGAATTTCCTCCCTGGCCCGTCTCAGGTGGACGATCAGTCTTTGGTGTGAACGACTGTCTGTGAATGCCGTTGAGGATTTCCGCTCTTGCCTTCTCATTCCAGACGTAGCCCAAGTTGTTCACGAACACGTCCGCCATACCCACCAGGGTCGGGGCGTTTTCATAGCCATCACTCGCGAGCTTGGGCACTTCGATGACCGTGTAGTACGTGCTCAAGTACCTTCCGAAACACGCAAACATCGCAATAAGCGATGGGTGGGGGAGAATCTCGGTGCCAAGATACACACTGGAGGGCGTCGGGGTCTTCCACTCTGTACGTGCCTTTATGGCGAATTTATGCTGCTGCTGCAAGGAAACGTTCGGTGATTCAGCAAAACTTTCTTGCCCATGTCGCAAATTTCCAGCGGAAGTACCTCTCATGTTGCATTGTGACACCTCTTGCAAAGGTTGACTACAATTGTGTCCGAAGATTGCACCTTATCAATTTTCTCGCTCAAGTGGAAAAACTTACGCAGACACTCGACGTGATCAATCATCTCGCAAACACTATCTCTAACTCCGACTTCCTCATACCTACGTCGCTGTTAGAAGGACAGCTACAGGTGCAACATTTGGTTGAGGGTAGGTAGGCCTCCGCTTCGTGATGTCGGTCCTCTACCCGCTTACTTCCTATTCTCATATTACGGCGCATATCGTGTGACTGCCGGCCGGTACCGGCCTCACACCCCCACACGTGCCCTTTTGTTGCTAGAGGCAAAGAAAACGCATTCCTTACCCAGTCCAGAACCGGCGAGTACCCCGTTGTGCGCCAAAGCCCTAGGCATCTCCCTTCGTGCCTCGGCGTACTCTATTTTTGTTACAAAATCCCTTGCGCGTTGCGCCCCTTTGGGTGGAACACGTTTTTCGTGAAAGACATACCGTCGGATAGTGTCGACCGTCTCATCGATAGTCCTCCTTACGGAAAACAAAATCAGCAAGGCTTCCACATGACTATCGGTACTCCATTGCGACGATGATAAACGTCGAACCCTCACCTTGCCGCTTCAGAGTCTCCATTCGCAACGGCGTCGACGAAACGTTTGTTCATCTGTACTTGAGCCAGACGATGTCCTTCGATCATTGACCTGCCAGTAAGCATCATCAGACACGGTGTGTACTTGGGGGAGAGGCATGCTTTGTATCCCGTTTGAATGCCATGATAGTTCCTACTATTATAGAAGTAAGTACCTGAAGTCATTTTTTGTGCTGACGAACACAAATTTGTCCTTCGTCTCAATCTAAATTTGAAATATTGCGTGTTGACCGTTATTTCACCATAGGCGCATCAGCACGATGAACTGAGTGGATGTGCCTCGTATTTTAGGTAGGGGTTTCCTGCATTGGGGGTGGACGGGCGCCGCTCCAAACCTGGTGGGAAAAAGAGAGCTCCTGAAAATAGCGAAATATGACTGCAGGGTCTTGACGAAGTCCAAACTGTTGGCCGGTGCTATTGCGCCAGGGATCTTGACGAGGTCCGCCCTTTTAACAACTGCAGCCCCCTGAACTCGCGACATTTCTTCTCCAAGGTCCGCCCAGTCTGCATGTATGTGTTTACCCTGCGAGTAAGACACGCAGAGACAGAAGGAGCGGGAAAGGTCGTAGTCGCCAAAGAAAGCGAGATATGTCCACCGTGAGAATGTTCACAACGTTTCGTGGCCTCGCTTCGTGAAAAACGATTTACACCAATCCGTTAGTAACAGAGCGCACGGGATACGGGCACACTTTTACCTTGCCACACGGAGCGTGCCCACAATGATCTCTAGATGACGTAGCCTCCAATAACTTGGACCACACAGCGCTGGCCCCGACGAGGGCAGGTTCGAGAGCAGAGTCACCACTTTCCCCGGTAACCCAGCGGGGTAGTAAAGGACGACCATCGTCATTGCCCTCGGCGTTGACAACCGCGAGCGTTCCAGAAATTGACTTGAGCTGCAGCTGCTCCAAATCGTGGCGCTCCTCGTGATAGCTCAGACGTCTGATGACCCCAATTGATCTGCCGATGGGCAAGACACCAACCTGATCCTCAACCTCCTCGTCGCTCATATCGACGTCGCACGTAATGGCTCGGTGTTCGCTCCTAAATCGAAATAGGAAGGCAAGGTTAAAATTGCTGCAGCAAGAAACTCGATTCGTGTCGATGCAACGAGTAGATAGAGCTTGTCGTTGCTTCAGAAAAATGCACGTTCAAACAGCGAGAGTGAACGGCATGACAGCTATAAGGTCAAAAATAGAGAGGCTGAAACAAGTTTGGTCTCGATTGTTTGCTTGGTTGAACCTCGGATGCTATGCTCTTTCCATTATTTTCGACTGGGTTGATGTAATCCGAAGGCCTATGCCGTGACAGCTGATGTGATCTTAGCAACGGTAGCCGAGTGCAAGTCTCAAAAATGATTCAGACGTTGATACTGTCGTGGGTGACCTTCGACAGCTGCTTCGAGATTTTCTCGCATGGCCTATGCGAAGGTGGATGCATTTTCGCTGCACATGCCCCAAAACGCAAGACTGAAGGTGCCCTCGTCCGCATAAAAGTAAACATTATGTTGCTTCCCACCATGCAGTTCCGAGGCACTCTATGTTCTATTTACTCACCATTCACAACGATGCGGGTCTTTGAGCCACACCATGTGCATGTTCGCCGGAACCACGAGCGACCTTACACTGGCCCAGTAGATGTCAACTTCTGCTACCGAACACCTTGCTTCCGGATGTTTCGCGGCCAACACTAGCGCCCTGGCAAACCAAACGTCATGTGCAACAGGTGGTAGGACCAGCTGAGACGGGGGAAGGTTGATGTTCGTGCTTCACGCTTCACTGTCGACGTGAGCAGAGGTAACAAACTCGGTCACAAGGCACTGAGCGGTTTGGTGAACTGTACAGATTAATCCGTACCTTACCACCTTCGAGTAGAGGGGGACGTTGGGGGCATCAAGTGGGTATGGTTCCCACGTGCAAGAAAAGACGTCGACGTGAATCGAAGGTTTGAGCCACATTGCGCATTCCTACAATTCACAACAGCCTTCAGTCCAGACGACATCATGCATAAAGTTCTGCGTCCATCGCACGTGTACAAGAAGCATGGAATATTACTGACTTCACACACGCTAGCAGTGAGAGACTGCCCTTAAAACGATAACCGATATGCACTCCAGACACCACTGGCGGGTATGTATGCGATTCTTCCAAATGCTACGTGTTGGCATGGGCGTGCGGGCTCTCCTCGAGGCCCCCCTCCCTCGTTGGCCCCTCCGTCTCTTTGACTAATCTCAAGGAAGACCGCCAGCCTGCCCTCGGTCGGGCTTACACTAACTAACACAGCACGCCATCAACGACGTCGTCTACGGAAGGAGCCGAAGTCCGTGTGTCGATAGTTAACTTGGTGATATCAGCTTCGGCGGTTTGCACAACAAGACTGCTTGCGGCACCAGACACAAGGGGCTCAATATCTGCTGACAATCCCCGCCAACGCGTCTCACTTTGCAAGTTCCACAGGGTGCCAGAACTCGTCCCCGTTCATCACAACCACCCGGAAGAAATCTCTGCTCGAGCCCGGGGAAACGACAAAGGGGGCAAACACGCCTCAACAAAAATGGTGCAGGATAGCACAGGCAGGCAGAGCTCAGACATTTCGCACGGAACGGGAGGGTTCGCCAGACAAAAAAAATCGGATGTTGGTCACAGCTTGCTATTCGAGCCTAGCATTGCTTGTGTTGTTGAAAAGAGATGACAGCGGCGACCTGAAGCAAGACTATCGGGAAGAACTCACACAATGCTTGAGCGGTATAGCTCAAGCATTTCGGCAAGACCAGACTCGAGGAATGACAAGCAGGCGCGCAGGATGCTTGCGTGATCGATCAGACCACCACCAAACGAAAACAAACAGCGGGGCGGAGCGCGACAGGATCCCTGTACCTTGTTGCAGGGTTACCGGACCAAAATTGCCCGTCCGGAGGATGTTGGTTTTTCCCTCACCTGGGGTCTTTTTTGATGAGGGAATCCCCGTGCTGCCTTTGTTCGCGCTCGGTAGCCCAGGAACCAACCTCCACCTGGAGCTGCAACTCAACAAATGATACGAACAAACGCAAGCCTCAACTATATTACTTGTTTGATTGTATTATTTTTTTATCAGTATTCGCCGGAGCACGCAACTGATATGGTCACAGACGCTTTCTTTCCCACGGATTTGCCTGCACAAGGGGAGTCTGCTTGCAGTTCTGGTGCGTTTAGCCTACACCTGCAACTTGTCATAAGTGGTAGCATCGAAGGACATGCATGCGTACGACCTAGGCCTTACCACGTAGTAACGCGAAGCGGAAACGGGCACGGACATTTCACAAACCTTGCCGAAAGAAGGAGAATCAGCGTCCTCCAACATATCATTCAGGAGTTCCAGTGTCGGGGATGTATCCTTGCCGGCCCCGTGCCAAGATTGCAAGCTAACCAAGATGAGCTGTTCAACGGATGGTGGGCGAAGGAGGTCAGGAAGGAAGCTTCCACGAAGGGCTCATACGCATACGACTAAATGCAAAAACTAGACAGCACATCTTTATGGCGTGGTATATACGCGCATGCAGCGCAAGTGGTGTATTCGTGATGGATAGCACGAGTGGGTTGCGTGCTATGGTCTCTTGCCAAAGAGCTATGCATGTACTACTCCTTCAAAAGTTACACAAATCAAACATAACAACGGCTGAATTGGTATGAAGTGTTCCTCGTATGCGACATTAAGGCAATTTCCAATTAGTTGGGGGGCTGATCTGCAACAAACACCCATAATCTCAGCTTTAATCGAACGTTAAATGCGCTGGTTCACAAGAAGATGGGAGACTTCGCTTGAAACCCATCCCCAACACTTCTGTCATATTGCAAAGGCATGGGGTACTGCCGACGGGGTGGTTGCATCAGTAGTACCGACCTTTTCCTGGGAGGTATAATTTGCTTCTGCCCCCCAAAGCCTTAATCAAGAGACTTGCCCAACTGTATGGGGAACTCAAGATCTTAAGCGTTTGGCGGTAGGGTTGGGGGTGATGTTGCTATTAGGAGTAAGGAAACGTTCATCGTAGCTATTGTCGCGCCGTACCCTTCAACGCCTGCGCTGACACTCTTTTTCTGTCCATGTTCGTCACTGGATGAGGAATCCATCCCAAACACGGAAGTTAGATACCGTTTCTGTAGCGATCACGCATCGTTATTCTGTACCATGCTCACAAGGGGTCGTGCGTGCTGTTGAATAACATAGTTTTGAACGGGAGAATAGCCCTGCTCCACCAATAATTGCTGAAGGCAATCTCTCCCTGCAAACGATCCGTTTTACCGTACATTGATGAACATTGTCACTCACGATGTGTTCCACCACAATGGCAACCTCGTCCAGGGCTGCACGCACTAGGGAGTTTTCATCGTGTATCACGACCACCACCGCCACGGGAAACCTCTTTCGCCTGTCGAGTACATTATCCTCTAGGACCTTGTCTGGGGTTCTCTCCATCCACTCCGAGTGGAATATCATGCACCGCCGCACGGAATCAGCATCATCGTGCTCTGAAAAAATTGTAGGAGGAGACCGGGCTGTAAATAGGTGTAAAGCGTAGGCACTGTTTGATCGTTCGAACGGGGCCCTGTCGTACGGAGCCAGCACATGTTTACCAGTCTTGGCTGTTCTTCGCCACGTCGATTTTGAATCTCCTCCGTCGCTTGGGCTTTCCTCCTTTGTGTCCTTTGTCTCGCTTGCTTTTCTCCATGCTGCCATTTACTAATCTAATTGTCCGACCACTAATCGCTCTAGTTTAGTGCTTGTTTGCCTCGTATTCTACCTTCATCGCGGTTTTTGTGTTGGCAACCGCATCCATGCAACAACAGACGTGTCGAAGACGACACCGGTACTTCCGCATGCCGGGCAACCCCGTGGAAAACGAGGTCTCCGTATACCTTACATCACACTGTCCGTCTTGTAGTTCAGCAGCAACACAGGACATGACTGGATACAAATAGTTTATTCCCCAGCCTCCTTCAACCTCTGCCTCCAGGTACATGCAAGTGACCCCCACTCCCACTAACTTGCACAGTCGGTGTCCTTCTGTCCCACCGCAAAAACCTCGAAGCCGACACGACGTGATCTCACCTGGGGAAGGGGCCTCAAGCAGCAGAGGCAAGAAAAACAAATCACTGTCAGCTTGAACCAAGGCCTCCAGTGCCTCTGGGGAGATCTGATTCCGCTTGTCGATGACGACCTCATCTGGTGCCGGTGGATCCCTAGAATATTCCAGCTGACGGAATCCATCCCCGCCTTTGCCTTGTCGCAAGATCTGTTCAAGAGGCTTATCACGTTGAACACCGTCTTCAAGCGGATCCGCACTACGATGCTGTGCTTCTCCCGTTCGGTGCTCTTCCGTAGAACCTGCAGTACGCCGGGATGCTGTGCCTGCGCTGTAACCCGGCCAAGTCCTGACAAACAATCTACCCCATTTGCGTTCATGTACGTGCTTGACAGCGAGCCCAGTACAGGGGGAAGAGGTAGCGCTCCCATATTCTGTTGCTGGTCGCACTGTATTGAGCGCGCCAAGGTGCCGGCCAGCATTGTTGTATCTGCAGTCACTAGCACTGCTCGGTTGTGCTCGACTAATCCACTCGGCGACCCCACCCTGAAAAGAGAATCGCTCGTCGAGATCCCCCAGGGCCAAAAAGGTTTCGGTATCGAACACCAGTAGAGGTATACGCGCTGTATCGCTGATCCTCGTAGCCGGTGCTTCCCGAGGTGGTGCAAGCGGCGGAGACGATCTTGAGGGTAACCACTCAGCCGTTTCTGTTTCCTGGGCTACACCCTGAACATGCCCCTCTTGCTGCGCGCTCCCCTGGGACCACGCTGAAACGTGATCGTCACGATCGCCTCGCCGATCTGAATTCGTCCGGGGCAGTAAGGCGCTCACAAGCAAGCCCCCTCTTTGACGGTCTGTGTTGCTTCGATGGCGGAGATGATCACCCTCGTTCTTACGCCTCCCCTCGGCGCCTGGAGGGGTATTCTCTGTACCTTCAACTGGTGACCCAAAAGGGCAGTCCATCCTGCTGGATTCCGTGGGTGGGATGGCAACGGAGACGACGCTTTTCAGTCGCTCGTACGCGACAAAGACGTCGCTTGCTGCCCCCTCCCTGCCGGCATCGCTGTCGACATTGCCAAAACATTCTGCATCCTTGGTCGTTGGGGTGCAGGTGTCCACGGAGCTGGCGGGGAGCAAGAGTGCCCATGTGGACAAGATAGCCACCACGGAGTTTCCGGGTACAATCTTCATGGCTCGATTGACAGCTGCACATGAAAGTCCGATGGGAACGGCAGCACTCACAGGTCAGATCGAACTCAGGGACAACCATGGGTTGGAGAGCCCGTCCCTACGCTCTTGGTACTTTTCAACAGTTGTAAGGACCATCGCTCATCTGCTACGCAAATAGTGTGTCGGTCAGATGCTAATAGTTGCGACGACGGCAGGTTTAGTGGTTCTCTGTGTTCTACCATAGGGGATTCGCTCTCCTCGCCGACGTGTCTGCATGCGAACATACGGTGGGTTCATGCAGTGGGCTGCACAGGTTAATTAAGATAACCTTGTGCCCCAATCCCCTCGTTCACAAATCGTCATGATTTCTCAGGTACAATGATTATGCTTCACGCACGTTTTCAGGAGGTCCTACACAAGCGAGCTAGTCCTGAACGAGTTAGGAACATCTAAAGAACAACCGTTCCCATTCTTTTGCCGCTTGGATGCTCACCAGATGAAAATCCTTCGAATTCTGGCAACTCAATAGCTGTGAAACTTTTCCAGCCTTTGTCATGTAGCACGCGTTCCTGCACGAACACACGACACGACAAGACAAGCTTGTGATTCTTTTGACCCACCATAATACGTTGCTGTGTGCGTACTCCGCATGGATAGCAGGTGAATCTTTCTCACGCAGCAATATGCGTCTCCGATTTCTCTCTCATGTCCGTCATTCCAATGGCCGGCCGTTGAGAACCTGTACAACAACCTTGACGGAACAGCATAAAACTAACTGTGAAACGTCCTGATTCTCACGAATTATTTTGGCTCTTACAAACGCAGTCAAGACGCCCTAAATCTAACCTCACCGTGGCCTCTCTTGTCATGGCGTCGAGTTCGAATCCGTCTGCCACGAGAAGAAAATGAGCCTCAGCAGTATGCGTCGACGCTGCAAGCACCGCCCTCGTTAATCTGCTTGGATGAGCTCCCTCATTTCCAACGTCGAGTGCATCCTGTTCGAACAAGGTAGAGCGTTGGAGTGGAGTGAAAAAAGGAACCGCAGTCAATCATTACTGAAGCTCAGAACTGCGTGGTAAGGAAAGCGTTTGTTTTGCCGGGATCAAGCGTTCCGGGTTTATACCCCCCTACAGTATGCAGCCCCTTCGCAATTCGCAGTTGAGCACGATGTATGTGTTCTCGATGCATGCACGATGGGGTTCTGGTTGTCGTCTGACCCTCCCCCAAGACGAATCATGTCACGGCAGAGAGAGCCAAACTAACCACCCGCTACTAGTAGGTTCACGAGGTCCACCACTAGACCACCAGGGCGATGGCGTACGATGCTTCAATGGAGAGATAAGACATTACGTTGAATTATGTAGGTTGAAGTCCAGGATAAATTCGCCATGGACCTACCTGTGTTTTGACTTGTTCTCGCGTGACAAACAGCGAAATATGCCCTCCCGGGGGTAAAAGGCGAAAAAAATACATTGTGGTGGTCAACGTGGGTATCTCGAGAGTCTGCTTAAGATATCGTTTCTTCTCCGTTATTTTTGTCGTGGACTGGCATCCTCGACCGTTGTCAGCTGCAGGTGTAGCCAGTCCACTGTAGACTCCAATGTCGACCACGCTCTCACCTCTGCAAAAGCGAGCAGCACCAAATACTTCCCTAGTAGCGTCCGGCCAGATTCCCACGACACATGGCGCACTTGGTCCAAAGCATTCTCAACGCCATGGCGGTCCGCCCCCGCCTGGACCATGAACCTTTCAACCTGCGAGACGACAGAGAAAAACGAGTGAGGGTCAAACGTTCACCGGCGTTGCAGCCTGTGACGTTCCCCGGCGTTGCAGCCTGTGACAGATCCCCTAAAACATCCTACCAAACAAATCACTGCTGTGTAGGTGTGTGCATGTGTTTGTCCCGTCTGATCTGGCGCCAGTCTACACAAACTTCCGTTTGGTTGTTCGATTAATCAATTGGAGTCACACGCGGGTACACTTATTTCTCCTAGATGCCCTCCGAGTGTAAAGTTGCTGAGCGATTCAGTCCACCTTGCTAGGCACCTCTGGTTTTGGTCCCGTTCGAAAATTTTGCGTCATCGCAATGGGGTTGCGGTTGCATCACCCCTCTCCTTCAGCTCTCTGGATGGCCAACTTCACGCGAATCAACGGCGGATTTAGACCTGGCTAGACCGTGCGAAAATCCGCCGCGTGTCTTCATCGTCAGGAGATCAACCATGAGACCAGGGCTCCGCATCGTTCGCTAGATTTTTTTGGATCGCTGTGACGCCGCTGGCCATGCGTTAGAAAGGTCACTTAAACAACGACTTAGCCAGTCCATTCTAAATGCCAGTACCAATAGCAGCGGTGCAAAACAAAACAAATCAGCGCGCGGAACACTCGCACTGTGTTACCCCTAGTGATACTTCACCCATCAAGAAACTAAAACCTCATGGACGTTGTCGGAGATCAACAACGGCATACCAAATGACCACCGTTTGGACGCAGTATAGGCCGCAGGTACACCATGGGGTATTTCTCGCTCGCCAGACGATTGGATCACCATTACTGTTAGAGCTGCTACAGAATAACCTTGACCCTATACATAAAAAATAAATAGAAAAGACAGGTAGACGTAGGGGCTCCTTAGGACACACCAGGATGCACCGTTCGCTCCAAACCTCGACGAGGCGAAAACTGAGCGGGGAGGGGGGCATACTCATGTTGTATATGCCATAGCGGCTAGACCATGGGCCGCGCGTCCTCGAGAGGACGGGGCACCGCTAATCGTTCCTTCCTACTTTGCGAAATGTGGCTCAAGAAAAAAATCCTTCCCCTTTTTTTATTTTATCGATTGTATAACTTCCCGCCTTTTCCGCCCACTAACTACAACTTGTTTAGCTACCATCTTCGCGTGTGGGGGGGGGGGGTACTCGAAGCCGTGCATGCCGTAGTCGTTAGACCATTGACCTCGCATCCCTACAAAGCCGGGACAGGCACGCCGGGTTTTCACTGGACCAGGCTAGCACATCACCAAGCGGGGGTGTCCAGGGTTAGGGTGAGGGATAGGGTTTACTGTAGTACACGGTCATCCTTAAAACTATACGCCGTGTATATGGCTTGTAGAGTACGAAACTATAGTCAGAACACCCATACCCACTCCTACATACTTGAAGTGAACCAATAAACTTCGATCAGGCCGCAGCAATAGCGAGGGGGGGAGAGAGGGGGCATTGAGGTACGTCCCTCTATTTTCTTGGCTCCTACGCTGCTCGACAAACACAACAGATATAATCGGGGGGCACCGTGCGAAGAGGCCACATATTTTATGGGGTGTGGTGTCGGCGCGTGTACCTCATTGTCACGTTTTACGGCTCCTGTCGGGAGCGTTTCTGCACAGAAGAGGAGTGCCTCAAAGTCCTTGTTTAGAGAGTGAGACATGGGCAAGGCAAGTAGACAGTCTCGCGCTTCAAGTCCATCGAACCCGTAACATCCGCGTATCCCCCGGACATCCGTATTCTGTCGTGTGCGCACAACAGAGTGCCTCAACGCCGTTGGTGGCTCCGGGAGACCCAACTACTTTCGGGACAAAGATGTGGATCGTTTTTTCGCATGCCCTGGGGACATCGGGTCACAGCAGGTCGATATTTGCAGCAATGGATCAAAGATGTAGACTGTAGGCTCAGGCTACACATGCATCACGTAGGATATCAACGCATATATTTTTACATGTTGCATTTAGCAATGATGGGCACACATATATAGTGTATAGCAGGGGCAGGGGGCGGCCCGAGTGATTTTTATTCCACCCCCACAGCCCCGTCGAGCATGGACTACCGCATAGGACGTTGTGTAGGATCGAAAGCTTATAGCGGTAGCCCCAAATTTGAGCCTGGTTATTCTCAACGGCAGCTAATGTAGCTCCGTACCTTGCACGCCCAGTTTGGATCTTCGGCGAAAACAGCCAGATCCGACACAGGAGGGGCTCCGCCCCCGTTGGCAGGGGTCACCCGTAGCACAGCCAGAGGAAGCTCTCGGTAATGCTCATTTTCAACGTCGAAGTTCACGGATACGTTTGGAGAGTGTAGTCGCCCGGTAGCGAGCCCTTGCAGTAAGATCGAGGACACACATAGGAGCCGTTTGAGGGCGTGCCGAAGTGCCACTCTCGACGTCATCTTGGTTGTCTCTCGCCTATTGTGTGGATGCAACACAAGAGTGAGTTCTTGAACAGCTGTTGGTCCGAGGCTCCATTCGTCCGCTTCATGTATCCCAGGGAGTGATGTGTGCTGTGAATGTGTGTGTTATATGCATTAAGTAGCTGCTTCCGGCTTCCGGGTGCTGGCACCATGCGGTCTGACATTTTTTTTCCCGATGCGTTCATTGGCTGACGATGACAGTGCCACGGAGCTTTTCGCAGGCCGGCGTAGACCACCAATAGTCCAGGTCAGTAGGGCCTTGGACGTGGGCGTCTCCGTTTCATTTATGTTTCCCCTTTCAAACAGCAAGGGTTCAGATACACGTCATTGGCTGGCGGACATTGTGCTTTTGCCGAAAGAGGGGCAGAGACACGGAGAGAGAGGGGGTATGGCAAAAAGATCTCCTTTTCAAAAAAGCAAGCCAAGCGGCCACAAGAGAGGGCAAGCCGAGATTAAAAGGGCGGGCCGAGTTACAGAACCGTGAGGTGTAGCACCGTGAAATCTTTGCCAGGTATATTCTGTGCGTCTTGCTCGTGTTTTGCCTGTGGTTGATACAGGTTTTAAATCTGGCTGGGAGTTTAGGCTGTCTTGCAATGTCTTGTGGCAAATGAATCGCACCAACATCTCCCACGCGGGCAAAACTAATATTAGTGTCTTGTTGAGTGGAAGGCACAAAATCATTTTTTTCCCAGAGGTACAGTAGCCTCGCCTTCCAAAAGATATCTATTTTGTGGGTACTATCGCCCAAATTGGTGCCCCATGGGGGGCGAGAGGGTGCATACATTCGTATCCTTCCGCACCCTTTTTTCGCCTTGTTTCCTACGACATCATCTCGTTTGGCAGAGCATCGCGGAAAACACGGAGGGTGGAATCTCACGACAACTGCTGACCATTGCTCGTTTCTTGCTTCACACATCGCGTCAGATATCTTCATCGACACCATCGATGCTAGAGGAAGCCTGATTTCTTCAAACAAGATGGGTTTTATTACTCGTTTCTCTTGCACGTTCAGAAACGACCCCGAACACCCAACCCCATCAAGTTCTGGCACCTCACGCCTCCTCAATCCGCCCAAAAACGATCCATCAGGCATCAAAGCAACTGCGTCTGGTGTTGGCGTGTAACCAACACTTCAGTGCCAGAACCACAACCTCACACTAATCTGCATTGCTTATCCTGTAGTGGCCAATGCCCAGCGATACATGTCCGCGTAGCATGAAATACTTGTGGTAGTCGTTGTCCTCTTGCACGTCCCACGCTCCATTGCCATTCTCCTGTCCACGTTGTAACCGAGTAAGAAAACAAGTTGAGAGTCTCGCGTGCTCGTGGATGATAAGAACTGTGCCGCTGCCATACTTCAAGACTCGTAAGCCATACGTAGCTAGCTGTTGAGGCTCACCAATGGGTGTTTTCTTCCCCAGGGGTTATGCCGGATCTTGTCCTACCTATCAGATATATCGTCTTTGTACTCCGAAGAACGCACTACCCGGGTACTGCAGTATACAGCAGCTTGAGTCAATGGGTGGTCTTTCTGTGTGTGTATTTATTTTCCTTAAGCCATCGCCGCATTCCGAGATAAATACGCCGAAAGAGAGATGCGGAGAGATTGCACCCCCCCTAGACCGATAGCTTTCAAAGCTCGATTGCTCCACAACGAAGTGGGCGCGGAAAGAGCCCGATACGTGCACGGAAATACCGCGACGTGTTGTTTCCAAGACCACCATTTTCGGTGTTGGAATAAGCCTGGTTGCGCAGCAATCGAGCTTTGAAACTCGGTCTAGGGCAGGTACCTCTAGCGAGCTCTAAATAGTGTTGGTCGGACAAAGTCTACCCTGCTCCAGGGAAGAGAGAGAAGAGACAGGAGGATATCGATACAATGGCATCGTCCGAAGCAGAATCGTGTCGCTGCTACCTCTCGCTCGTCGAGAGCCGACATGCGTGGCGTGGTTCCAGAAAGCGACAAGACAAGCCAAACCGGCTGGAACCCAGATCAAACATGCGAAGAAACGAGAAAAAGCAGGCTAAAAAAAAACCGTCAAACGTAGCGAAACACGCCAGGAACAGTCATGAGAACTAACACAAACTTGCAGCGACCGTGATGCTAACCGTAACAATGTATATTTATAAAGATAAACAACGTGATCTCTGCACGCACCACAGCTGTTGACCGACCAGTGGGGTAAGACATGACCTCGGAGTACTGTTTGCAGTACGCCGGGTGGCGTGCTCGTATGCGGTAAGTGCTTGGAGGAGCACGAAGGCGCTTCAACTCGGCCCCACCCAGGGAAAGTCTGCCCTAGTCATTGTTTGTCCGTGCACGTCGACAATTGTCCCCACAGATGTCACCGACCCAGAGGTAAACACGACGCCCATTCACAACATACGAAAAACACAACCAATGGAACTACATATAATCTTTTCACAAGGCCCTCTAGCCGGGTACAAGCGAGGGACTGTTCCTCTCGCTGTCATAGCGCAATCGAGCTCCATCTGTCCCCTGACGCAACACGTACGCACCACGAAAAACTGTACCAACGCCACCCACCTGTGCATGCGCATAGTGTTCCCCAGAGGCGATCACCACGCGTTCAAGCCTCCCCCCTCCGTCCTCTTCACGGAAACGGCGCCACGCGGCCTCCACGGGTGGGTCTTCCAAGTCGTCGATTGCAAGCACGTTCCAATCCCTAACGACCATCACAATTGAGTTCACCGTGTCGGTTGTTACACTTTTCAGCCCACCACATCTTCGGCCTCTGGAAACCTTCAGAAAACGAAGGCGACTTTTTCAGCCTCACCTCATGCCTCTCTCCCAAGTGATACGCACAAATCTCGCCCGGAATGATGGCCATATATTTCGTCTGAAGGCCCTGTGGTGGAGACTTTACCTGCTAGCCATTGCCCGGAAGTTGACAAGGTCGGCATAGGCACCGTCTTCACTGTGATCGCCATCAACGAAAAGGATGTTGCATCCTTGAGGTTCTCTGCCAGCTGCCGCTTCTGCCACCACGTATGCCGGGATGGTTACAGAAGAATCTCCGATGAGTACCTCCAACCGACCGGGAAACATAGCCTGTGTGTTTGGATTTCGAGAGGTTATGTTGGAGGGGTGATTGCCGGAGTGAAGATCGAAACCCAAGCACCTTCCTCTTAGAGAGTTGACGTTAGCTACCGTCGCTGGTTGTCACATTGAAAAGGCTGGTTGTTGGATACTCGTGTATCTGGGCTGGGAGTTGGGGAGAAAGGCCAGGCAGGCCGCTCTCGAGCTGCAGAAGGGGGATGCCACGGTTTCCACTATTACAAACAAGAAGGCTAGCTGGCGGCGAAAGAACATTATTCTATAACGAATACCATGTTTTACCTGCAGGAAGTCAAGGGCGTGCCTCATGTATTCGTGTTCGCCCAAATCAAAGGCCAAGATCTTGGTCGAAGGGTGCGAGTGAAGCAGCCAGTTGAGGGAGCTGTGCCCAGCGTTAAAGCCCACCTTGATACCGAAAACCAGATCAAGGATGGGAAAGAGCATGGAGGAGGAAAAATGGGGAGGGGAACAGGAACGGAATGCACAAGTACATAGGGGGGGCTTGAGTAAGACCTCATTACGTGTAGAACAACGCGCTTTGCACACCGCGTGCATGTGTCTAGTGAGTTGTAGATGCAGCAGGTTGCGGCACTTGGTGATTCCGCGAAGGACAACAAAAAAATTCATCCAACTTTCCTGCTTCTTCGAGAGCTGGTCAACTTCTCCGGACATTCCCTCAGTGCCACCACGGCAGGCCGAGAAACCACTCAGATCGAACCTCGTCAAGTGAAGGGTTCCTCATTCACCTCGCAAATCTTTTTCACGCGATCTCCCCCGTCCCGCGACACCGCTCCAAGGGCTTCGACCTTTCGCGGAAACCCACCCGTATGTCCCTCGAAATTGTAGCTGGGGCTTACGCTCCTCAAATAGGCTGTTAGTCGTCGTGACATGATGTTGAACAGGTCCACCTGCGCAAGAAAAATGGTTCAGCAATCATTACCCAAACACAGATAGACTTGACAGAGCAACGCGAACAGTCGCATGAGTGGTACGAAGGATGCCACGGTCTCGAACATAGCAGACCACACTAACAGCCTCAAATGAATGATTAGAATGGTGGACTGAGCAACCGGTGTCCTCAACACCTGCGCACCCCTCCTTAACCCCCCTCGATGACGACGGGGATACGAGTTGACAGGACACATTGGAGATCGCTCTCGCTCTGTGGGACTCCCGGTCCACTCCTAATATCTAACACACCCCTCCTTACCTTCCACGGTGAAACTCAACCCTGCCACATGGCGGACGGCGTTGACCGCCTCTCGCTACGTTCAATTGTCGATTTATCCGTGGCTGGTAAACTCAGCGATACTCGCACACAAATGTTGGTGCTGTCGTGCGTGCGGCCTGAGCTCGCGACCGACTCCGTTGGCCGTAGCAATCTACCTACGCCTTCGAAGAGTGTGTGTTGTCACTTACCCTCTTAGCCTTGATCGCGCTGGTGACCAAATCGACGCAGTCGTTAACGTTGACCAGGATTCCTTGGAACGGTCCGAACGCCTTTGAACAAGTTCCGAACGCCGCCTGCACCAAAAGTGGGAACGCGAAACATTCCACGGAACCATTTACACCAAGAGTGGTAATACAGGAGAGAGCAAAGCAGAACAAGAACCACCTACTCACAGAGGACCAATTCGGAAACACTACGTACAACTTTGTCCGTCCCAAAACGAGAAAAGCCTCCCAGCACGTCCTGACGTACCTCCCATATCTCTCCATCCGAGAGCCACCTGGGTACAGCCACAACCACTAACGTCTCAGGATCACTCTCCAGATAAAGCGACACAGAAACCTCTTCCGGGGGTGATTCGAAAAGCGGATTCGAGACTGTCGAACCATCGCTGTTTTCTGCGCCCTTGTTGTCATGGCTTTCTCCTCCCGACGGTGCTACCCAAGGAGACGATGACAGAACATCCGTCAGGTGGCCCGTGTGGAAATATTGAACCGTTGCAGAAGTCGCCAACACTTCCCATGCCGGCCCCTCCATATTCGACTCCGGGAGTGGAGATGATGCCGCCGATCCCCATCCCTTCTCGTTCGCGTTGCCGTGGACGATCGGTTCTGACAATTACGTGATTGGGGGAGGTGCGAAAACAAATATCAAAGACAAAACAGAAAGAGAGAGCAGCAGCAACGAAGACACTTGCAATTTTGAACCTAAGCCCCGGTGGGATGTGTGTGGATCACCCGGGGAGTTGGCACGAAGCTCCAAAGTACTGTAAGAGACCGGTCAAAAGAATATCACACGAACACCTGTTCTCAACTGCTTTGGCTTTCTGCAACGGTGCTGGTGCTGCGGCGACACGCCAGCTCGCCGTGGATGCGGTGTGCGCCAAACGCCTCTCGGGTGCAAACTCTGTCCACAGCCCTGGAGTCAAGGCGCCATACGTCCTCGTTTGCACCCCACCCCGCCAATGCCCTTGCTGGGTGTTCACTGCAGTGGGGATTGTGGTCGTAAGTTGGGATAATGGCCGTCTGCATGACCACAGCGGCTTCGCCGTCATTTTTGAAAACATCCGCTGTGTCAACGGGGATGGTGGAAGAGATTGAACCATCCACAACCGCACGAATGACGCATCGATCATAATCGGAAAGCTGCGGCTTCATCCCCGTGTCCCCCCCAACCCTCCTGTATCCGCTTCCGCTGCTGATGCTTCCGTCGTTGGTAGTGGCTGCTTCTATCAGACTTGTCCTCAGCGCCGTTCCAAGGAAAACCTCGACCGCAAATTTCACCACTCCGCCGCTCACGCGCCCTTGTGGGATTGGGTGCTTCATGTGCAGAAAAGGTGGCGTTATGACCATGCCACTGCGTTCGTTTCCACCGTCGAGTAGGGTGAGGAGACTCTCTATCCGCCAGGCAGAAGGTATCGCCGACGAAGACACCGATGGTGAAGGTTGCCTGTTTGTGGCGAAAACCCTTTCATTTATCGTTGGCGATTCCTCTTCTCCGGCGGAGACCGGTGACGATGAAAACTGCTTCATGACGGCGATGCTCCGTGAGGATATGGAGTTTTTGTCTCCGACACCATCCAGAGCAATGTTTGCGATTGTCGCTGTTGACGAAAGAGACAGACTCTGGCCCGTAAGGGCTCGAAGGGCCGGCAACAGCTGGATCTTGGCACGCTCGGAAGCGAGAGCGCTAGAAGCCGTCGAACAGTCAAAGGGGTGGAAGTTGGACGCAAACCTTGGCCCCACGAAATTCTGCAGCACCGTTAGCCACGGCACCTCGTCCACGGTAGCTCTGTGTGATACCGAAGGCAAGAAGGAAGAGGCTAGGCTTGCAGACCGAACGAAGCGGATACAAGCGCGATACAAGAATAGAATGCTGCAGAGCACGAAATAAATGCTGCTACGGCCTGCTGCTACGGTCTGCTGCTGTCCTGTGGTATGCTGGCGACGCTTTCCACCTGGTCAAAAGAAGCTGAGACAGAGCTTCTCGTACAATTATCTCATGACGGTTTTTTGGTCGTCGTGCACCAGAGTTGCCTCAACGAACGGCTGGGTCGCCAATACTTCCTCGACCGCCTCGCGACAAGCCTTCCGATCGATCGTATCGTCGTACTCATTGTTGTCAACCCTAAGTTCGTCGGTCATCTGCGGCGGGCAGAGCAAGCTTGGTAACCAAGCTCGAAGGCTGACGCTGGCCAGAGTAGCTCGGAGGCCTTCGGCGCTCTTTGGGACGTCGGTGTAGGTCGTCGTGGGGGTCTGCGGGCAGTCGTTCGCAACGCTCAAAACATTAGTTAAACTCCTTGGGTTTGTCCCTAACTAACGCCTCTTGTCTCCTCTCTACCCCGGAGAGGGCTACAACTTCCTCTCTTGAGGGTCGGGGCGGGGAATCCGGCGCATCGTGTCGATACACGTCTGTGTCTGTATCGGTTTCACCAACGAGAACGTGCAAATAAAGACGGGATTCGAAGTCACCGCGGAATCATGGCAACGAGCGTGTTCACCGTTTCTACAGAGGCAACACGTTGAAGTCATAGTGGATGTTATTTGTTTTACACGTGCAACTTCGTTGTCTCTTGTTACATCAGGATGCACCAGGAATGGTCACCATCGTAACGCCTGCATGTGCTCAATCAACTTAGTGCTTGCGGGTAAACATTTTCATGTAAGGACTAACCCTCTACCAGCTGTTGGAGTGGAGTGGCTGCGGTGTCCAATTCATCTACAGCACATACGCCTACAACCTCGAGTACGTCAGCTCGATGCATAGCCAGGGGAGGCAGTGATGGAGTAATGGATGAGGGCCGTTTGTACGATGTTATGTATGGATAAAACGTGTGATAGAGGGGATGGCAGCTTCCGTATGTACCTCTCAACAACTTCGACTCTATTGTGTATTTTAGGTAGCTGCTGTCCGTAGTCAGTATAATAAGTCCTTCTCACTTGGAACCTGTGGTCAGCGACGACGACACCGAAACACATCTATCTAGCCATCACCTTGGCGCAGAAAAGGGCGAAAGCCTCCTGGTAGTTGTGCTCGAGCATCGAGCAGGTGTATCCTTGCTCCCGGGCTGCTTGCAGGTAGGAGCGTCGGTCCTCCGTCGTTTGGTATTCGCTGAAAGAGGAAACAAACCGTTCGCCTTCGAAAGCAGCGCTCGGCGCGATGAACCGCACGTCGATATTGCCGCGGCTCTGACCTAAAGAAAGAATCAGCAGCAAGATAGCCGGGTGAGTGGAAATAACGCCCATGCTCGATGTACCCCTGGTGCCAAGCGCCGCGAAGAAGTAGGTGGATCTACGTGCACTGGAAAGATCGCGCTGCTGGCAAAGCGTATCCTGTGTATCATTTGGTATCATGCGACGGGGGCTCCTGGAGTGGACATGCCTGCACCTCCCCCCCACTTCCCTCTCCACGGAGACCCCCATTGCCCCACACGCGAGACATCCATTGCATCAATACTTGCTTGTGACTCTTCTCGCCGTTTGGGCAGGGCATCTACACTGCTACTGCAAACCATCTGGTGCCTACATCTATGCTGTGAGTAGGCGAACTCGGAAAACTTACGCATTAGATTAGCTATAGCACATGTGTATGTTTAGGCATAACAGGTCGATGTGGATCTGAGGCTCGAGACCCTTCGTGCTTTGCTTGTTTGTCACGATCCAACGGGAGCGAGAGCATGCTGCTCCGCTCCCCCGTAGGGTAAACCTTATTTGGGGGCATTGCGGAGTATAACATCGTGGCCAACACTCAAAAGCATGGGTGAGGTGGAGGAGTTGCCGCGTTGTGAAAAATATCCTGTGGCGCCAAGGATATATTTCAGAGCGGTATGCCGTAGACAACTCTTGCACAGAGCAGAGTACTTGCACCGCTGCTGGGGCGCAATATCTGCTGAAGGCGACACTTTTATATATTTTGTAGATACGCCCGCCCCTGCAGGATGCATGCTCGAAAGTACGACGGGTTTATTGTTTCGTTATATAAAGGCTCACACTGGGTGTGCACACAAGTGCCACACGTAGGCACACAGGATGACGCAAGATACCACCCACCCTACGAAACAATGGTGTCAATAGCTCATGTACCATACAGCATCAGGAGACGTGTTCGTGTCAGGTCAACATGTAGGACACGGCTTCACTCTTCTCCAGCGTGTTGATGACACCAAGGGTACGCATACGTGAATTCTCAGTCTATTTATCTAAACATACGTAGTTTTTCCCAAACTTTCAACGCCACACTTCCCCCCTCCCTCGCTCTTCATGTAGACTAACAGACCACAAGCAGAATACCGATGCGAACGGATCTGTCTCCCTTCTTCGCTTGCTCGCCATACATTTCTTCATTGCCGTCGCTCGCATTTTTCGAGACATGTCATATCTTGGTCGAGATGTTGCATGGCTAGCTGCGAAAAATGGCGTGCAAGTGGTGTGGCATTGTGCGAACATGTGTACTGACATGTATCTTTCCGACGGCGAGGGAAAGGTATCCTTACCGTAGACAAGTACATTGGTCGGTCGGTCGGTCGGTCGGTCATCAGCCGCCGATACTCAGATTGCAGAATCAGGGCTGGAAGTCGGAGCAGTCTTAAAATGAAGCGTGCCTTGCGATTGGATGCAATGCTCGCCACGGCGGTACGTACACGTTTCCGCGTGGCAGATCAAAGCAAGACTGAAGACGACGACAGACAGCAGTGTAACCTCCCACACACCCCTGTCGCGGAGTGCTGACCGACCGAAATGGATTCATTCGCCCCTCTCTTTGGTGTCACCGCTACTCAGGGCTGCTCGAAGAAGCGCCGCCGCGGCTGCGGCAAGGCTAGCAACTCGGCCGCGGGTCGGCGGCGCAAGCAACGGTCACGACCGCGGGGCCGCCGGAGCAAGGCTTTCTTCTCTCCTGGGCGGCACAATAGCAAGGTGCTCCTCCGGCTCTGTGTCTTCTGCCGGTGCGGGCGGCGGCGCCGCAAGGATTCTCTTCACCAGCGGCGGGAAGGAGGAGGGCGCGGCGGACACAGGTGCGTGCGCAGCGCCGGCGGGAGGGTTTCGAAGCGGGTGCGCTTGCATCACAGGGAGTTGATGCTGTATGAAAGGGGCATCGTACTACAGCAGGCTCTTTTACTTTTCCTCGCTGCATGTCCATCAGACTAGTTTGGGCAAGCCAAGGAGAACATGAGGCGAGGGAAAGGTGAGAGAGGAAGAAGATGACGAGGAAGATTAGGAGGAGATATGTGGGATCACCACGCTTGTTACGATGCAGGGCGGTTGGAAGAATGATGGAGAGTGGGTGGGGTGTGGGTGGTGTGTGGGTGGGGGGGGACAACCTCTGGGGTTGCGGGTGGAGGCAGCAGCGCCGTAAAGTTTAGGGTGACCGCACCGAAGGCTCTGAAGAGCAAGAAGGAGAACATGAGAAGGGAATAGTTGAGCGGAGGGATAAGCCGGTAATGAACACCGGGGGAAAGAGCGTGGACGGAAAAGAGTTGGGCTTGTGAGCAGGGTTCACGAAACAGCCTGTACGCGACCTTTCCCGTGAGATCGCGGGGCAGGCGACCCGGAGACCGCGGTCGGTCAGTAGTTCGTATGGCCATATATATACGTTTCTTTGCCCCAATATTTTCCCGATAAGGAACACGCGTTGCGCCGTTTGCTTCAATGTCGCACAGCAGCAGCAGCAGCAGCAGCAGCAGCAGCAGCCGTGCCGCCGAGGTTCTACCGACATCAGCATGTGGGCCGACTAGCAATAGCTTGTGGTGGATGGAGACACGAGGAAGGGGAAGAAGAAGAAGAGACGGACAAAGGAGGCGCCATTGCGACGCTGGATTCGCCATCTAGGGTGAGTGACTTTCAGGTGTCGCGGATGGGCGTAGACAACTGCTGCTGTATGAGGATGAGGCCCCAATATAGGCGGGGCTACAGCAGGGGCTGGTGATAAGCTGGTGTTGTTCTGAGAGAGGACCGAGAAGGGGTGTTGTTCACGAGATCGCAATGCCGTAGGCGTCGGTCGGGTCGATCGTTTGGCCTCGCAACTGGAGACGAAAGAGTATGATGCGGCACGTCCTTTTGTGAAACACCGGGGGAACGATCGGGAGGAGGGGGAGGTGGAGAAGTGTGAACATTCAGATGTGGTGTCGCCTCTCCCTGGGATATTGAAGAAGAGCTCCACACTGGGGAAGTGCTGTAGGACCAGAACATCCCGAAAACACGCCCGCCGGTATCTCGGACCCATTTTCGCAAATTTTCCCTGGAAAGAGGAACGGCTTTGTTCACAAGTTCGTTTGTTGTTGCTTAGATCTACTTTTATGTATTCTTGTGCTTGCTGCTGTACATCAGTCTCGCGGGGGGTTTAGGAACGTTTCGTGCCGAGGCTGTGTTGTGCGTTACGTTCGTAGTCATAGTGTTCCTTCCACGACCCCAGTGGTCTCGACCAAAGGGGCTTGCGGCACACTGCTGCACGAGGCATGGACAAACAGTTTCATGGGCTGTCTGCCTCGCAATGTGCTGACTAGTGTGGTGCGAGACGTACTCCGGTGGCGGCAGCAGCATGCAGAACCAACCCAAAAGGTGCTGAAAGAAACTGTTTTTACACACACGCCAGCACACACGCCCCAGATCGATTCTAGTCAAGTAGAATTAACACTCACGTTCCAGGTGTTCGTGCGAGAGGTAGGCAAACAAACGTGGGTGGCTGGGGGAGACCTTGGCGAGTGATTGATTGCCTCGACGCAGATAAGCACCCGGTACTTGATTGAGTCCGTTCTCCTTGCTGCTCTCGCCACGTGCATGATGCGCACTGTTATAGAGCACCCCGCGAGCACTTGGCAGTGCTCACCATATCCATCCGTGTGTGGCAGGCGTGGGCATGCTGCATACACCGGCCGAAGTTTTTCGTGCAGTTTTTTTGCTGCGACACTGCAATATCTTGCATACTGAATATGTATATGCATTGCTCTGGCGCGATAAATAAATGTTGTTTTCGACCAGGTGATGATGGCGCAACAAAGAAGGCCAAGACGCGTGCTTCGGAGGAAGCCTGCCCCACCCGCTGGTGGGGCCCCGGCACCACCGGTGAGCTGTACCAAAGTTCGCTTCGAGACTCGCCGAGAAGCTGAACTGGTTTGGCCTTGGTTCACTCGCTTCAGACGACCCTCTGCTAAGTCAGGCTGCTTGCTCGAGCGGGCTGTAAGATACGGAACCCCCCCCCCCGGCGACCGCTGTAGCCTTAGCAGGGTTGTTCGTTTTAAGTATACGTGTTGGATAAAGCATGCAATCAGGGGAAGTTGGGTAAGGGTTAGGGTTGGGGATAGTGTGTTCGTACCCCCTCCCTGTTCTTTTTTCCTCATGAGCTTCATTTCTCGCGGAGGCCGGCCGCTGACAGCGGCTTGTCGGTGACCGCAGCGATTGAGGATAAATGTTGCCGGGGGGGGGCGCGCACCGGCCCCGCTCATCGTGCGCCTTGCCCTTCCCACGTGCACACAGCAGTGTTTCCGCCCCAACCCACACCGTGGCAGCCATACTAATATCTCTTTTGCATGAAGAATCGTTGTATTGATTTCTTGTGCATGAGCCGATCCCTATCGCTCTGCCTCTGGGTCCCTCTGAGATTCCTTGTGAGAAAAAAAAAGAAGTTCAACTCGCGGAGAGCCGGCAGCCTGACAGACAGAGAAAATTGCTGGGGGGGGTTCAATGCTATTTTGTGTGCTGGTGCATGCGGCACGTTCCTCTTCGATTGTGACTGACCGTATCTGGTCTTGCGAGGTATCGCCCTCAAACTGCCGATCCGTCTGTTCCGTCTATCATTTTGACCCTTTTTGCAGGCGGGCGGGGGGGCGCCACACAGCGGCGGCAACGGGGTGCTTACGGCAACGAACGCACTGCTTGTGATCAACTTCTTGGTCTTTCTTCAACAGCAACAAGACCCGTCTGTTACCACCAGCTTTTACAAGGCGCGTACATATGTATCTTGGTGCACAGTTCTGTGTTCGTTGGGTGCCAGTACGTACTGGTGCGGTGGTGGTGGTGGTGGCGGCGGCGGCGTTGCATCGGCCATTGCTGCTGCTGTGGTTTTTGGGACATGCCGATCACTGCTGCTGTGGGGGGTTGTGCTTATGGATTGTGCGTGCTGCTGTATGCGCTTTTCAGAGGCATCGGGGAGTTGACGGCCTCCCTCTTCGCACGAGAGTCAGTCACGGCACTTCTGTGGCGATTGAGCCATCCACCTTGCGCGGCACTATTGGATCGTGTACGCCTGACGGCACACATTTACGTATCGTGCCAATAGGCAATAGCCGTGCTGTGCACGTTGCTCTAGTCCGCTTCTTGTTTCGCATGCTACAGGTTTCTGCCACAGGCTGTTGTGTTGCCCTCCGAGAAATAAAGGACTAGGGCCGGCTGAGTGTTCCGCGCCTGAGGCGCGCCGAAAAATGTGCCCCCACCGCCCTCCTTCCCTCTACTAACTTGGGGTTGGCTTTACCAGACACTGCTGTTCTGGTGAGTTAACTCCCTTGCTGTCGCTGCTCTGCAGCTGGCCTACGCCATCACCGACCATGGTGAGTGGTACCGGCTGGTGACGGCGGTGATGCTCCACGGGGGCTGGGGCCACCTTGCGGGCAACAGCATGGCCTTGTTCAACATCGGTCGAGGGGTGAGTGACGGCGGCGTGAAGGACGGGGAGCCAGCCATGTGGGTCAGGTGGTGGGGCAGTTTTTTTTTTTTTCCGTCACGTCTAGCCCACGGGGTGATGCTGCTGTGACCAGCAGGACAAGCTAAATAGGTACGCCGTTACAGGCGATTCTCTTGTGTGCCCTTTCCCAGGGTTTCTACCCGGCTCATGACAAAACGCTACGTAGTTTGCACGTTGAAGTAGAAGGTGTCTAGGGTTACCTCGTACGCACCTCACGCTGCGGCATGCCGGTTCTCTTCCATCTTCTGTGGCAGTCGGGGATTCCTCTCGCAGGGGTTGGTCACGAGGACGCTCCCGAACGGCAGCACGCGGCACACGTTTTTACGCTTGACCCTGGCGGCCACCCTGTGTCTTGTGTGGCTCCCGGTATAGGCGGCAGTTGCGGCCACCACTGCTCTGACCCCTTCGGTCGCACCAGCTGTTTGCTTGATACCAGTTGCTCGCTCTGTCGCGTGTGGATACGGCGTTAGAGAGAGCGATCTCCCAACCAGTAGCGCCACTGCTGGTTGTCTTCAAAGACGTGCGTTTTTTCTGGCGCCTGTCTTGAATCGCGCTCCCTGCTGTGTGTGCGTGTGTGTGTGGTGTTTGCAGACGGAGACATACATGGGAACGGAGAAGTTTGTGGCGTTGTACGTGTGCTCAGGCGTATCCGGCAATGTCCTGAGCTGCATTGTCGACCCACTCACCCCGGTACGTGTACGTGAGACTGCGGTCGCCGGTAAAGCATGGTCGTGGTCGTCACGACAAGCTGCTGCTGCTGCAGCAGTATCTCCCCGTCTTGTTTATCCTCACGGGACACGCTAAGCTAGAATATTTGTAGCCCGGAAACCCTATGCGTACATGCCTCCAAGTACTACCACCGCCCTGTCTTGTTGTTCTTCAGGGTTTGTGGTGGACTCGACTCTACTCTGGGATAAATGTCTAGGGTAGAGATTCGATGGTGGTAGTGTGCGACTGCCAGTGAGTCTTAACATCTACTCGTGAGAAACAGCAGTGTTGATAGCTCCCCTGTGGGTCAAAGGTCAGAATAATTGTACTGCTGTTGCGCTGACAAGTTCGAACACCCGCGCTCCTTGATGAGTGCATGGACAAATACATAAGATTGTGGTTGCGAGGCGTGTATGCCGTCCTACAACAAGATGCATTCACTTGCCAACGTTTGGTGTATGTAACCCGTGCGTCGCGGTGCAGTCTCTGGGGGCTTCGGGAGCGATATTTGGCCTTCTCGGGGCGGAGGCGATGATCCACTTGGCGGGCCCTAAGGCCTCGATGCCGCTGTTCGTGAGCAGCGTCGGGCAAACGGCCTTCTTCGCTGTGTTGGTGGGGCTCTTGGTGCCCAACATCGATCATTGGGGGCACCTAGGGGTGAGTCGTGGAGTGTTTTTTTATTCCTCTTGTGGACCTGCTCAGTCCTCCGCTGACAACAGACTGAGATATTTCACCGTGCGGGGCGAGTCGATCTGACGGGTCCGCATACTGTACGGGTGTGGCGGTGTATGTGGACAGTCGTTGTTTTCCCCTTCGGTTGCCCCCTTCTGTCAAGACTTGAAATCATGTTGCAAGTTTGTTGCAAGGGATTAAGAGCTTCTCCCCACCGCTATTTACTGGTTGAGTCGAGCAATGGGACGACAGGTCGTCGCTATACCACCTTTTGCGTGCTTGCTTCAAATCTGTGCCACATGCGCAGGCTACGTTCCCGAGTTCGTTTTCTCCTCATTTATGATGCTGGGGTGCCCTCTCTACTGAAGCAGTGGTAACTATCGGGGAATGGAGCAAAAAGTGTTGACATAGAAGGGATGCTGTACTCCAACGTACTTCACTCTACCGTGTACAGAGTAGCCCGTTCGGTTCAATCGACTGAGTGTCCTCAGGGTGCAAGTAGAAGCTCGACCGCTATCCCCGCTGCTGTACCGCAAATGTGAGGCAAGTACCTCCCTCTGCCGTGCCGCATCCGCTCTCCACCTTTGACCTTGGTCCTGTCGCCCGGCACCCACCGCATGTGCGCGCTTTTTTATATGGGCGGGCGTCCTTGCCACGCCGTAGGGCTTCGTCGGCGGTGCGGCTTTGACTCTCCTCATCCAGCCACGTTCTCCGAGGTGAGCAATGCAACATTTGTTCATTTTTTCCACGCACACCTCCCGACGCTTTGTGAAACCCTCTTTGAAAGAAGGGAAGACCAATGTCACACCAATGACCCTGCGCTTGCCAAATTATCGACGCCAACTGAACTGTCTGTGAACAAGCCTGCCTGTGTCCTTACCGTACCCTTTTTTTTTTGTGCATGGATTGCCTGTTTGGTCTTGCTGCAACTAGTGGTATATTGCTTTACATGGCCGTTGACAATTTCAGCGAAAAAAAACGCATTTTCTCATGTTCCCCAATCCTTCCTTCAACAATCTTGTTCCAAGCCTAACAAGGATGCATGCGTTCCTCGCTTGTTCTCCATGCCCCGCTCTCTCCCTTCCCTCCCTTGCACGCGCGCGCCCGCTCTTTGTCGTGACAGGAAATAAATGAGGAAATGCTTGGGTGACATGGATTTATTACGAGCCAGACTGACCAAGTTCTCGTTGCGGGCACAGTTGAGGCGAAGGGGGGCCTAATTGGTCGTTAATTATACCCCTGTAAGCTGTTCTTGATTCGAAGGAATGTACCTTGGGCCGCCAGCAGACTACATACCGTAAACGACACAAGATAACACACACCCCGGACCTATTTTCAAAGCTCGATTTCTCATCAGCAGAAAGAGCCACAGCGTCGAAAACGGCGGCGTTGAAGCCGTCTTGTCGAGAGCTTTCCGAAAATGTGTCGTTTCGTTTATGCATCCTCTCCGTCGTGGAGTAATCGAGCTTCGAAAATCGGTCCAGGGGGGGTGCTATCCTGTGTCGTATGTGGTGGCCAAGAGCGGCAGACAAGAGGCATTCCCACTCGAGCAACAAAAACCGCACGGCAGAGAGAGCGGGTCTATCATCATGGAGAGTTGTTGGAGCGTCAAGTGAGTAGAAGAGTGTTGACGTGTTTTTTCTAGCCGTAGTGGTGAGCGTTGTTGACTTTTTGCCGCAGGCGCGTGTGTGTGCTCGCCAACCATTTAGTCGAGCGAGGAAGCGGTTGGCGTCCCAAACAGGCAATCAAGTGACTGAGTGTTGAGTACTTTTGGGAACCAAAAGGTCGCGAATATGTACCAAATCCTCCCCGCATGACGGGTGCTTGGTGCGTAGAATTTGTCACGAGATGAGGAGAGACTGAAAACGCGCTGCGATACAGCAGACCTTAACTGGAAGTTGTCACACGGGGGGCATTTTTCAGCACCACTCGTTTTTTCTGAATATATCGAAAGAGCGAATTTTCAACGCCCGACATACAAATCTGGCGTCACAGAAGAGAGTTAAATAAACGCTGGCGTTGATAGGCTCAACCCCGTGTCTGTCGCCACAGGACCAGAGCGTTTCTACAATAGACAAGACAGACAAGCTGCTCGTCTCCGTGTTAACCGTGAACGTCTGCGATGAGAGTCCAGCGGAACGATTGGTTGCTCCCGTCAATTCGGCTGACGACGATCCCAACGCCTCGAGGCACATATCTTCAGGGTATGTGTATTCAGTGCCTGTCGACAGCATCACCCTTGCACCGTGGGATGAATACAGTCACGGAAGACGATGGGGCTGCCGCGACTCCGCTGTTGACAGCCGCAAAATGATTGCGGTCAGAAACGAGGCCACACGTAAAAACAAAAATAAGCTTATATTTTCCACGCGTATCACATTCCGCAATAAGGTGGCATGGGACATGTAACTTTCCTACCTTCGTCTAGAACCCAAAAAAGCTTATCACTTCGACCAGACAAAGAGTGTCGTGAAGGCTGTTCGTCTCTGATCCGCTAACCACAACTCAACTCCAATACCAACACACGACACGAGGAGAAGGCGTTTACGGTTCTGCCCCCCCCTCCCCCCCCATTTTCTCAGGAGGGAACGATGATCTCCTGTCCGTCCGACTCCTGTACATGTACACAAAAACGACAAAAGCAACAAATATCTCGGCCATAGCGGCAGCAGGTGCGGTCTGTACATACGGCTGTGTATGGATCGATAATCGATAATCCCACACCTTTCTTTTGTCCTTTTCTCATGCGCTATACACAAAAGGCTAGATGGACACGAGGCTCTTCCGATTGCTACCAAAACTCCAAAAAACACCCTGCACATATCACATTCCTCGACACTTTTATCTCTCTTCAGGAAAAAATGGACATTTCCTACCACAACTAGCTTCGATCATGAAAGCTTCTACATGCATACACACCTGTTCGTTTGGTGGGAGCATATTGCAAAACTAACAGTACGTGGGAAAAATGTACTGTTTTTCCTCTCACCCGTTCGCAAATGGACGACACAAAACCTAGCCCGACCGGGGTCGAGACGCGAATCGCAACCTCAATCATCAATCAATGGGTGAAACGTTTCATGTCCTTGTTGCAGCGCTAGACACGTGCACGTCACAACTTTCAGACTTCCACACAACAAAATTAAAGCCTTCCGATGTGCACGTGTCGGGATTATTTACGCGCACCCAAACTGCTCTTGTTCCATCCTGGCTGCAACACTGCTCCGAAATCGTACTGCGTCATGCGGCCACGCGGCCTGCGTGCGCTCTGCTTCTCTTAGTAAGCGTACGACATGGTGCGGGAGGCGCGCTCGAGGTTAACGCCGCCGTCAGCGGCGGTGGCCGAGAGCTGCTGCTGCTGCTGCTGCTGCTGCTGCTGCGACATCATCGCCTTGGGCAGGATGCTGTCGCAAAAATCCATATCCAGGGCGCTGGCCGAGGCGCACGACATCGAGCGCGCGCGGCCCGCCGCCGCCTGCGTGGTGCACAGGGACAGGAGCTCGACCGTCAGGGGCTCCTCCTCGGCGATGACGTCATCGGCGTTGTCTGCGACCGCGGCGGCGGCGGCGTTCATGGCCGCGCGGTTCTGGTACCAGCCGACAGTCTTGTCGATGCCGTCGGCGAAGGCCACGCTCGGGTTGTACCCCAACATGGCGCGGGCCTTCGAGATGTCGGCGCAGGTGCGGGGAACGTCCCCGGGCTGCTCGGGGCACACGCGGATCTTGGCGGGCGTGCCGACCGACTTCTCGACCAGCTTGATGAAGGAGGACAGGCTCACGGGGCTCCCGTTCCCGAGGTTGTAGATCTGGTAGCCGGCCGGGCGGTCCAGCGAGCGGACCACGCCGTCCACGATGTCCGAGATGTACGTGTAGTCGCGCGAGGTGGAGCCGTCGCCGAACTGCATGATCTCCTGGCCCCTAGCCACCAGGTCGATGAACTGTGTGTGGACAGGAGACAACCCGTCATGGACGAGCCAGATGGGACACAAGAGGGTGTGTGGGACAGGGCGTTGAGTGTCGAGCGGCCGCTGCGGCAGCCAACAGAAGCCTGAGACAACTCGACAAATGTTCGTCATATCCAGCCGTGTGACAGCACCCAGTGCGTCCAACAAGAGTTTTTTTATGTCCCACAGACGGGGGCAAAACAGCCTCCTCAAACCTGATACTCTCGCGTTCGCGTCTTCCCTAGTTCAGTTCCTCATGATATTTCCCGCATAGTCCGGAGGTGGGCACCCACCTAGATATTTGCACCAGTCGGGCCCCCAACATATACTTCCAGGACAAGAAACGTGGTGCAGAAATATCCTATGCAAGAGATTTTGAAAACCGAGAGAGTGGGAAAACCAATCTCACCTTGTAGGGGGCCATGTCGGGGCGTCCGCGGGGCCCGTAGACCGTGAAGAAGCGGAGGCCGGCGATGTTCAGGCCGTACAGGTGGCTGTACGTGTGGGCCATGAGCTCGCAGCTCTTCTTGGTAGCGGCGTAGGGGGACACGGGGAAGTCCACAACGTCCTTCTCGCTGAACACCTGTTCGTGTGGTCGTGTCGTGCGCCGCATGCAGTTTCGTCAATAAAGGTCATCAAGAGGAAAAGGAACGGGTGGACGGTGACGTTGGACGGGTGTCCGAGTGCAAAGAAGGTAAGTGCACCATCGCCGTGGCGATGGCATCGAGATGCAACACCGGGTGTTTTCGTCCCCGTCCCCGTCATGTGCCATGCAGGTACAGTAATGCCAGCACTGCCACGACCAGACCCAACCCCAAACAACCTCCGCATCACATCAGACGCGCCTGCCCGCTCCACCACAAGACGCTTCACAAACAGCCTGGCCGTCTTCCAGCCGGGATAAAAAGCTTAAATTTTGGCTGTTGTAATGGCAACGGAACGACGTATTTTAACGCCTCCTGCTGCGAGCTTTCGTCCCATCACTCCGTACACGCAACACAACTTTGCCAATGGCATGCTTTGTCCAACATATGAACATAGACAAAAAACCCTGTGAAACCCCCCTCCTGCCCGGACGACGCACCTCCTTCTGGCTGCCGCCGTACACGCTGGAGCTGCTCGCGAACACGAACGACTTCACGCCGTGGAGGCGGGACAGCTCCAGGAGCCGCGTCGTGGCCTCCACGTTGGAGTGCACGTACACGAACGGGTCCTCGATCGAGGGGCGCACGCCCGCGCGGGCGGCCATGTGCACCACCCACTCCACGCCCTCCGTCTCGAAGATGCGCGTGATGAAGGGAGCGTCGCACAGGTCCCCCTCGAAGAACTTGACCCTGTTGGGGCCGTACTTCTCGAGGAGCATGGCGACGTTCGAGCGCTTGGTGCGGACGTCATAGTAGCTGTTGACCTGGGGGGGAGGAGGGGATGCGGGAGGTCATGTTTGTCAGTAGGGGATTGTGGAAGCGATTGGCACTGGGAGAGACTCGGACGCTGTTTGTGTTCTCGGGGAACGGTCGGTGCGACACGTCAAATGATTGCATGCTCAGGACAGCAAGCGAGTGCGAAACGAAACAGGGGAATGGTGGAAGATGGGACAAACTCAATAGAGGATCAATCCATGCTATGCATACATGGTGCGTACTATGCGTCGGAGGAACCGTTGGCGGAAAGCATGACTCACGTCATTGAACAACATGCACATCATACGACCCAACAGGCAGTGGTAGTCAGGACACGTGGCGTGAGGAAAGGACGCACGCAACGCACGCAATAGAGGATGAACCCATGCTATATGGTGCGTACAATACGTTGGAGGAACCGTCGGCGAAAAGGATGACTCACACCACAAAACAACATCAGATCATACGACCAGCAGGCGGCGGTACAGTCAGGACACGTGGCTTGAGGAAAGGACGCGAACAGGAACGAACTTGCCTGACTCATGACATGACGTACGAGTACGTGTTGTCATTTGTACCAAGTAGTTGGAGCAGAGTTAGATAGATCTCGTTCTGACACAACCGAATCAGAGGTGCATTCAACCAAACTTGTTTGTGCTTGAGAGATACCCACCGAGTAGTGGCTCACAGAACTTGCGGCCAGGTTGTTGCGGTATACAAGGAAAAAAAAAAACTTCGAAAACCGCAGTCGAATCTGCCGTGTTCATTCGTCCAAGAACACCTGAGTCATCACGGCTTGCAACCATTAACAGGTCGGGTAGGTCGACTACTGCTGTCCCTGTATATGGACACAGGATGGCATCACCGGGGACCGGTTCTCGGGATTTTCGAAAAGTCTTCACAGCAGTAAACACGAAAAGACGTCTCTGAACCAACATCGGCGAGAATACTATGCATACTCCCGACAAAAATCGGACAAATTCCACAAATCCCGAGGAAAGAGAAGTGTGGGCACGCGCACAAGGCACAGGACACAAAACGGAAAAGGGCAGTGCTGTATGCATATATAGGTGCCAAACCGTGACTGACCCCACCGCAACAGAATGTCTACCGCTGCTAATGTATGCACATGATGGTCCTTCCTCTACCCGCCCGCCGTAGACGGCAGACGACGAGAAGAGGTTCGCAGTGTTCAGCGAACCTCTGCTTGAGGCAAAATATAAATCTGCGGCCAGACAGTTACGACGATATGCACTGAAGGCTGCTGTTGTTGATGCGAAGACCCTACATACGTACATACCTCGTCCACGATCACCACGTCGTCGCCGCGGGCAAGCAGGGTGTCCGCCACCCAGCTCCCGATGAACCCGGCGGCGCCGGTGACCAGCACCGTCTTCTTTCCGGTGTGGGGTGGCACCTGCGATCACACAAACCAAACGTACAAGAGACGAGAAAAAAATATATATATCGGGTAAGAACGCGGACGAGACTAAACCCAACATTCCATTTCCAATTGAAGCGATATGCAACTCACTGAGTCAACTCCCGTTTGCACTCAACCAATCGGCCCCCGCGTCAGAGGGTGCCATCATGCTGGCCTAGCGGGGCGCTTGGGTTGAACTCACCTCCACACACCTACATCCCTTTGCCCTCTCGCCCAACTTATCTACGTATGTCCGAGCCCACAACGGCAACCCGACAAATACAACGAATACGGGCCGAAAAAAAAGGAATACGCCCGTCTTGTGCGCCGTATTAATTTGCAGACTTTTACAATCCGTGCGCGCGTCCTCCGACACCCACCCCCTGACTGCCACTTCTTCAGCACAACACGGCGAGGAGACACTCTCCTTGTTTAAGGCCTTGCTGGGGGGACTACGAGGGCTTCGGTCATGGCGACGCGATGGAGTCACAACCCGGACGAGGAACCATGGTTGCGGGTACGTGTGACGTACGTGGTCTGACACCGTCGCCAGGTGACATATTTGATTCAAAAATACCGGTTGACAGGAGCAGGGCCACACGCGGAAACCGCGTCATGAGGTGCATGAACAACGAACTCCGGGAAAGGGGAAACGTCAACCCCGACACCCAGAGGGCCCGTAGACAATCCGCCCAGAAGGGAAAACTACCTGCAGTGAGCGCTCGATGGTGATATGGCCATGCCTCAGTCTTGGGTGACGAGCCCAAAAAGAAGACGAATCCACACATCACTTTTTTGGCACTGATTGGATAGATTTATTCCTTAAATCTATCTATCCACCCACATTCATTCGCACCTCGGTCGCAAGGCCACCATCCGTAGGGATGTAGTCCAGGTCGTCGGGGCTGCTGTCGATCACGCTCTCGCTGTCTCCGCAAGAGGTGTCGCTGGGGAAGCTCTCGGTCGAGCCGGCGGAGCTGGAGTTGCTGTAAGATAGAGTGCAAGAGCCCCGGCGGGTGGGAGAGGCGGGGCAGGCAGAGGATGCTGCCATCGAACCGCCCTTGACCATGGAGTGCTTGAAAGGGATGTGTGTCATTGTTGTTATCGTGAAGACGAGAGGGAAATGGTGTTGGAGGTACCGGCACGGGGTGCTGTCGGTGTTGTTGTTCGCTGGGGGGAAGATGCGTGTGTGACTTGAGGGGAGGGAGAAGAGGCGCCTGGCTGGCGCAGCGGCAACACGTACGTTGCGGAGGGACGGGGGGTTGTATCATTCCGCGGAGCGCGTTGCGGAGGGCCGGGGGGTTGTATCATTCCGCGGAGCGTCAGGCACGCTATGACGCTATAATAGAGATCACTGATTGATATGTCATGTACCACTCACTGCTGTGCTGTCCTGTCCTTCCACAAAAACATGTGGCCGCGCGACCATCTCACAACCATCAGCAACCAGAGTCTGGAGACCAGAGAGTGACCAACGTTTTTTTTGTTGACAGATTTGGTACTGCTCCGATTCCGGGCGTACGGCACCAAACACCCGACGCATATACAGCAAGTAGGTGGCCCGGTAATGCCGCCGGTGGTTGACAGCCGATTTCACCGGCATTATATATATAGTGGGAGACTGGCATTACTGAGGGTCTGAGGATTTCGGCAATATGCCGGTACCGGCACAAACATTTTATCTATGGCCCTTGTAATTATATAAAGTAGGAAACCGTCGAGTTATTCAATTTATTAATACCGAAACAAACGTACGCACCCGTGGCCATTCGGCTCAGCCACAAGGTTGGGGGGGGGGTCGACCCTGTAGCTACGCCCCCAAAGATGAAGGTCCCCCCCCCACCCAACCTTGCACAAGGTCGGGACCTGGACAGGGTGCGCATGAAAGCCACCTTGCCCTTGCCCAAGACCCTGCCAACGTGCATCATTGGTAGCCTGCACAAGGTCGGTACCGGGGCAAGGTTCGGCTTGAAAGCCACCTTGTTTAAGGTCAAGACCCTGCCAAGGTACCCACATCGACCTTGGCCACGCATGTCGACGTTGTGCAAGGAAGGATGTTTGAACGCCAGCGGCAGGGTTAATAGGCCTGGCAAGGTGGTAGCCATTTATTTGGGAAGGTTGCGACCTTGGGCTAGGTTTGGGTACGGGCCGTTGATAGGCCGACGTCAGTTTTGAAAAGTGTTGGCTTGCTTGTGTTTCACATATAATATTATATATATATATATATATTCCAATCTTTACGCCCAAGACTACATGTTCGTTGCAGCCGTCCGCTAACCTTGTGCAGAGACTTCACCCGTGGCCATTCGGCTAAGCCACAAGGTTGGGGGGGGGGGGGACTTTATCGGTACGCCCCCCATTAGGCGTTGACTAGGGTTAGGTAACCTGGGCAAGGTCAAGTACCTGGGCAGGGTTCGGCACGAGCGACCTTTTGGGTACGCCCCCCATTATCACATGACTAGGGTTAGGTAACCTGGGCAAGGTCAAGTACCTGGGCAGGGTTCGGCACGAGCGACCTTTTGGGTACGCCCCCCATTATCACATGAGTGGGGTTGGGTAACCTGGCCAAGGTATAGTACCTGGGCAGGGTTAGGCACGAAAGGCACGTTGCCCTCGTTCCAGACCCTGCCAACGTACGTCAATGGTAACCTGGACACAGTCCGAAACTGGGTAGGATTCGGTATACAAGGAACCTTGGCCTAGGTCCAGACCATGGCTACGTAGGCACAGCGACCTTGGGCTTGGTTATGGGCATGCCATCGTCGCGTCTGTACCACTATAATAGGTAGGCCCAGACCCTGCCAACGTACGCACAGCGACGTTGGCCCAAGGGTGGGGTAAGCAACTTTTTTCTGGGCCGACGCCCTCACTAGGGATACGAGCATGACGTTGCTCAAAACGTTTATTTTCAAGTTGTATCGCAGATCGTGCGGCCGACAAACGACAAGTCACACATGTCGGCCTCTGAAATCGTCAATCGTACAAAAACGCAGAGGCGAAAGCGCAACGTACTCCTCACCCGCCCCCCTCACGGAGCTACGACATGAGAACAACGCGCATACGTTTGTCTCCCTCCCCTCGCGTAGAGCGAAGTCGAGCATAGAACAATACCCAAGGAGGCGTAGAGAGAGAACGGGCCTACATAATCCTTCAAAGACATGAACGTACGGATATGACCTCAGCAAATTGGGCTCAAGACTCACCCCGCGAATGTCACAGGCTCCCACACAAAGAGTCCATGATGGGCACCATCACGCTGCGCCACATCAGAAAGAAAACAGGAACAACAAAAAAGTCTCGCTAAATATGACTACAACAATACCACCAGGCGGAATACAGGCGACAACCGCGCCCTGACTTTTACCACGGGGTGTACGAATATAAAAAACCCAACCATGATGCAACAAACTTGGATATATTCTGCGAACGTGTACAGAACATCAAACATCATATATCTGTAAACACTGGTGTGAGTATCTCACCGAAGATAAAAAAAAAATGGCGGAGCTATCAAAGATAAAAGTCCTATTTACTTAATACTATAATCCGGCGGCACGCGCAGTCTCCCTGCTCCTGCAGTACCTTACCACCTTCTTAAACACGCGAGGCCACACCATCACACCGCTGCCCTATCACCCATGATGCGTTAAAACAGGAAGGAAACACATAATTCATGAATACCCGCGCCTGATGATGCGGGCAGCGAAGCGAGATCAAGCAAGGCGTGACCGCCTCGACAGCCATTGCCACCGCGCCGTCGTCCAGATATTCGTCGTCATCGCTCGCGCCATCTCCGAACCGGCCGCCCGTGCAAGGGGCTGCCACAAAAGCGGGCATATATGAAAGTTTGAGGAAATCAAATGGTGAGAACCGATTAGTGAAACAGACAGAATTGGAATGTGAGCGGATGTGCAGCTGATCAAAGTAAGGTCAACGACGGCATTGGAAACCACTGGGTGAGGGTCCAGATGGGGTGCCTGCAGGGTATTCATGGGTAGCATGGGTATAGACATGAAAGAGATTGCGACGACAAACCCAAAGTAGATTATGTGACCCGCTGCATATGTACACCATGAAAAAAAAGTGCGAGTGTTTGCTAGACTGTAATTTTAAAATCCCAATTAGTGCTCTGGGGTGGCGAGCACGGCGAGAAACCTCATCAGATATGCATAGCAATCCCACACAGGCGAAGCCTGGACATGCCTAACAGATGAGTGGCACCCAGGCTTGCATGCACCGTACCTCGATTGGACAGGTAGGGGCACGCGTACTGGGCGAGATGCCAATCTTGCCAAACGCCTCCGCGTCAAAGTCGAGAGGCAGGGCTGCAGCGTCTGGTTCTCTCAAGTCACTCGTACGAAGAAGTTCTGGAACAACCTCTTGAGTTTTGAGAGGGGCTGCGGCGGGCAAGTGAAAAGGAGGTGCCACGACGAAAAGGCCGGCGGAAAAATTGGTTAGGGATAAGATGTGTGTAATAATATTGTTAGGAAGACTAGTTTATGGGGTGTCGTAGAATCTCGCGAGAGCTGCGCAATCGTCTCCTAAAAACACAAGCTGCTCCGGAGATAGTGTGGACGTATCATTTCGGATAAGGAGAACAAGGCGTGCGCATGAGAGGGCTTGCTTAGATTGGAGAAGCACAGAAAAAAAAAGGACCACGCCCGACAACATGTTTCAAAGCGCGCTGAAGCATACAGCCGTAGCGTTCATTTTGAAGACACACCTCGTTTTCGTTTTTTTCGTATGTCTTGACAGCCAGGAGTTTCTTCAAGGTTTCAGGGGAGAGTATTCCGCCAACCCCGTGGTCAATGGAGGCGTGATATACATCAAGATGCGCCTTACGCGAGCGCAATCACTGTGCATGCATATCGGCGGGAAACGTCGTGGGCGTGCCGAAAATTGTTCTATATTTCTTAGACGTAAGTTTATCGTGAAACTTTTGAGCTAGAACGCTGGCCT